GTTAATATATTGGAACAATAATAAACTTACGCATTAATCAGTATAATATAAGAGTCACTCACTGTACTGCGGACTTCAGTGAATAAAAGTATAATCAAGGAGACTATAATTTATGGATGACCTTTGAGCGGTGCTATAGTGACTATGAGAGTGTCCACCTAATAACTAAGACCAAATGACGGTTATAAACCATTTTAAGGAACTAAAATTGTGATTTACAGTTGATAGTTAAGGTTACGAATTCGATGTAAGGTTTTCATCACGAGCTGATATCAAATATAATACTGAGCCTCTATTCAGAGAAATGGATGAGTGAATTTCGTGTCAAAATCCAAAACCTGTTTTCTTAAATCTGATTGGAACGTGCATGAGTTATAGTCTCACCGTGTAATTTTCTTTGTTTGAAGTTATGTATTTCGATTGATAGATTCTTTCAATAGGTACTTAATCTTATGGTCATTATTGTATCAATGAGAATTAATTATCATAGATTTTATCGATGAGAATACATTTATTACAAACTTGGTAATTTAGTAGTTGAATTCAATTGAAGCTAGACCACCATACAAAGCCTGAAAGCACTGGATGGCCGTTTCGTTTTAGTATGGGACTCCTCATGAATGCGCATCCATGATCCCATGATTCGATACTCAGAATATACTTATGTTAGACAGCTGAATATGAGTCATGAGTCTGAAAATAGATCAATGAAACAACTATGCTGGTTTCTATAATGCAAATATACATCAAAATATTATGCGCTTGTAAGCAAACAATCCCAACGAAATCTTATATGGGTGAGTAAATTATAATAGTCCACAGTGACCAGGTGCAGTGTACCAACAGTCAGTCCCCAACCACAGGTGATGTATATATGTACATCTAATCAGATTACCATACCATATCAACTCAGCGAGATACTAAATTTTTTGTGGTGACATTATATAGTAAGAAAGATGTGGTATAGAAGAAATAGCTTTAAAAAATATGGATTTTTGAGGTCAAATCAATCGAAGATTATAAGAAAACTAAAATCCTAAGTTGTGACGAGTATTGAATGAATATACATAATTACAAACTATGTTGAGTCACATCGACTAAGGAATCAAATCCACGACCTCCGGTCTCTGACGAACGCTTAACTATTATATATAATAATAATATTGATTGGGTTCGATAATAGCAACCACATGCACTAGTATCCTTGTACTTCAGTAAGACGAATACTTTCAATAAAAGAAAAGCATCACTGATGGAAATGAAGTAATATATTCTACAGCTGAAGATAAGAGAACGGTTCTAGCTTCCAGTGGATATGAAAAGAGTGATTCATGTGAATTGTAGATAAAGTACAATCAATAATTTAACTGACCAATTTAACACAACCGAGTACTTGTTAAAAATAAAGTTAACGTTATGAATCATTACCAATTTGTAAACTACCAGAAACCATGGGTATTTTTTGTTCAATTATTTATTTCAGCTAGTGAATAAAACTGATGGACGATGGAGGCGATTTGGTGGATTCATTGAAATTAGACATTAACACCGTTGGATATCGGCTCAGTGGTCTAGAAGTTAGGCGTTCGCGCGCGAAATCGCTAGGTCCTGGGTTCGAATCTCGCGAGGATGGACCATGGACGCACACTGTTGAAGAGTCACATACAAGAACAAAACGGCCCCGCTTCTAATATTTTCTCATTTCCGTCTTTGAATTGTGTTCAAGTTTTGTCAAGGAAGACTGTCATGTTAATCATACGTTAGTTTATTATAGATTTCATTTTATAAATATAACCTGTTCATTAGTATTTAGCCCATAATGAATCGAACTAAGTTTTACGAATAATTACCAAAGCGTTTTAAAGTTTCACCTTGACTTCAACCATATTGATTCTGATTTGTTGATGAGCGTTTAAGGATAAGGAAAATTTTTATTTAGTTAGTCTATGGACATTAAGTAAACATTCACTGTTGTAATAAAAGTTTCTATCTTTGGTTTTTATGGTTTAATAGAATAATATCGGACTCAATATTTACATTTGAATTGGTTAATTATAAGCTATGGTCATGAAATAGTAAAGAATTAAAAGATTGAAAAATTCCATTACAAACAGTAAAACATAATCAATGTGGCAAGACTCTAATTTATGAACTAGCCAGTCAGAAACGTTTGAGAGATTTCAAGCTCACGGAGCCAATTTCAGTACTTCATGCTCACACACGATTAGTTCACAGAGAATTTTAGAGAAAACGTGATAATATAGCGGCTACAACAAATGGGACTACTAAGAAGTTCTTTTATTTGTGATTGTGGGAACCAACTGACTTGTAGACCTTGAGCAGACTACCGTGATGATAATGTCTTTCGATGCAATATATGTTGAAGGAAGAAGTCTGCTAGAATAGGGTTTTTTTCGCTCGATCCAGATTGTGACTAAGGCAAATTATGATTATTCTTTCGATCTACATAATAAAAGCACAAGTTACACAAGATGCAGACGGGTAATACGATATATACGGATGATTGGAGAGCGCACAGATGCCTACATAGACTTGGTTATGTGCATTGTGCCGTTATCCACAAGCGGCATTTTGTTAACCCAACAACCGGAGTGCAAATATACACATCCACCACTTTTTGTTATGACTGCCGCTTACTACCATGGCTCGATTTCTAATAAACTGTTATTGTTTAGATCTTTAAAATAATATCATTATGCATTATCAGCATAGATGTACAGTGTCTGGCGGTGGAATTCAAGATGCGCATTTGGACCTGTTTAATACTCCTCAGATAGATGTACATGCATCTAAAAGTTGATGTTTACTCCAGGATTCAGACCTAGTTCTGTTTGCTTCAAACGCCATCGCGTTATCCACTTTGCTATTGAATCCTGATAGCCACTTGCTTGTGCAGTGGGGTGACATTTTATATTCACTTGATATTGTTTACTTGAATTTTTCAGTTGACAAGTCCCAAATAGGACGAGAAGCGCGTCCTGGAATCCACTACTAGCCATTATACATCTTTGCAATATCAAGGCAATCTGCACAAATGCCAATATGAGACTGATTAATTGTAGTCCTAAATATCAATGAGAAAATTCAAGTAAACAATACCAAGTGAATTTCATATGGTTATGTTTTCAAGGACGGATACTACCCTAACTCAGGGTCTGAAAAGTCGGAAAAAATGAAAATCACGCCAATGCGATGAAAATGATCTTGGTGGTGTCTTTCCATAGTATTCCGACAGCAGACAATGGGTTTTAAGTGTTGTTCGAGCCATAACGCTTCAGGCTGGGCTATTTCGCTTACTACCCTATACATGTGTTGTATTCGGTATAAGCTATATGGCTTTATAGAGCTGAAGGTCTCATATGAGGTGGAGGTTTGCCATTGTTATTATGTATGGTTCGGCATTGCTTTAATAAGTTTTGCTGACTGTTCATGCAAAAAATTGGTTTGCTGGTTAACCGATTTCATTCATACTAGTGGTTGCTCTTCAGTGTTCCCAAGGGCCATTGTCATTGGGACATTGTAAGGCATGCCGCCGTTGCTAACATTAACGAGTTTGACTGTCGTGTAAGCGGAATAGGTCAACTTTGGCCTGTTCGTGCTGTGCATAATTGAATCACGCGATCATTGATCGGAGTAACTATACATGTGATGTGAATGTGTATATGAATGGTGCGAATGATCAACTAGGGTGCTTGGTACCTGTGTGGTTGCGCCACAGGATTGAGCTGTACTGTTCAGATTGTAGAGTTAAAGCCTGTACGGTGTCTGGTTCCCTGCTAAACGGGGTTGAGCTGTATTGTCTGGGTTTTTATGTGAAAGTCCGGATGGTGTCTGGTTCTCTTGAAAACCAATGTAAAATTACCCTGGCCCACAAAGGTAAATTATATAACGATGTTTCTAAGGATAAAAACCTCTCAATAACATCGGGATCGTGGATGCGCACTGCTGAGGAGTCCCATACTAGGACGAAACGGCCGTCCAGTGCTTCCAGGTTTTCAATGGTGGTCTAGCTTCAACTGACTCATGATTTCAATCTGTGAAAATTTCTACAAATCTCCACAAACCCCTTCTGATAATAATCATCTGCTCACTAGTGACTGACTTCAAGAGATACTCCTGGAGTTCTAGTGGGAAGCCGTTACCAGTGGAGTACAACCAGGTCTGTTGTGAGATATCAGCTCACTGAAGACAATGGTATATGGTGGCGCAACTTCGTGGATTGGTTGAAGTTAGACATTAACACCATTGGATGCCGGCTCAGTGGTCTAATGGTTAAGTGCTCGCGCGCGAAGCCAGTAGGTACTGGGTTCGAGCCCCGCGTGGTGCGGGATCGTGGATGCGCACTGCTGAGGAGTCCCATACTAGGACGAAACGGCCGTCCAGTGCTTCCAGGTTTTCAATGGTGGTCTAGCTTCAACTGACTCATGATTTCAATCTGTGAAAATTTCTACAAATCTCCGCAAACCCCTTCTGAACATAACCAATTGACAAGAAATACTTTGAAATATGATAAAATAAATTAAAAGGCAAATGAACTCTTTGATTGACAGTTTAAGTACACATATACACATATACACAGATACATTTATATACATTATAGATATACATAGAATTCCACCATTACACATAAATCTTTATCTTTCTCTATATTGGAGAGATAAATAGATTGATTACATAACTTGAATGAAATAGAATTCAATCATTCCAATGATTGTTTATTGATTGATTGATTTATTGATTTTTTTTGGAAAAATAAACAAACAAAAGACAAAATCAAAATATCAATAAAAAATATTTATCAAAATGATTGTTTCATTTATTCAATGTAAAAAATAGTTCATTTATGGTTAAAAAATCTTTCGGTAATATACAGATTTCACTAGTTGAAATCATAAGTCAATTGAAGTTAAACCACCATGGAAAATTTGGAAGCTCAGTGCTGAGGAGTTCCATACTAAGATGAAATGGCCCTTCAGTACTTCCAGGTTTTCCATGGTGATCTACCTTCAATAGACTCATGATTTGAACCAGTGAAATTTCTAAAAATCTCCACAAAACCCCTTCTGATAATATACAAATTGTTGATCCTTTTGAGAAACAAAAAAAAAACCAATGTTACTTTCCATTTATCATTAATTAATCTCTAATTAAATCTATTCAAAGGGAGGAGGGGGAAGGAAGAAGTCGGGGGGGGTGAGGAGATGTTGAAAAACAAACAGAAAAACAACGATGGAACTGATAAACTATTTAAATTTCATTTGTACATTGTAAATTAATTGTTTTAGCTGGAATGATAATAATTGATGATGAATCAACAATACATTTTGGAATGGATGATAAACTATCATTATTATATAAATGATTAGTTGTTAAGGGAATTAATGAACATGTTGATGATATATTGAATTGATTTATTGAATTTGGGCTAAAATTCATTGTTGTTGGCCTATATTCAATAATTGCTGGTGTTAATTCAATGGTAGATGATTTTACAATAGAATTATGTAGATTTGAATTCATGGATAATAATGGTATAGAATTATGAGTTGTAATATCACAGGTTATAGGGATAATAGTTGAAGGAGTTGATTCAGATATTGTTAAACTTGATGTGGAAAGTTTCATTTTGGTTTCATTTAGTGTATGATTCAATCTGTAAGTTAAATAGTAAACGAGAGAAAAAAGACTTATCTATTTATCATGAGTGATTATTCACATTTATAAAAGTCTATTTCCAGCTTATCGAAACATCTTAGTAACTACGTGTAGTGAACGAGAACATAGAGGGGTGGGGTGAGACAACCAAATGCATTTGAATACAAAATTATAGAACATTAAATACTTCATTTGCTTCCACAGTAATTACTCTCTGTTCTTGTTCTTTTTTCTTTGATCTTAATTTTTTGCCATCAGACATTTCACTTTCTACTGATAAGACATACTACTTATATCTGCAGACATCAGTAGCACAAACCATATGAATACTTCAATTAATATTATGTAAAAATTAAACTAATTTTCATAAGAACACTAAATACACTCTCGTGATGAATAATACGTGACTAGTCAATTATATTCATGTTGAAATGACGTCAACTATCATCGTCTTCTTATCAGAATGGGTTTTGTGGAGATTTTTAGAAATTCCACTGGTTGAAATCATGAGCCAGTTGAGGCTAGAACACCATTGAAAACCTGGAAGCACTGGACGGCCGTTTCGTCCTAGTATGGGAGTCCTCAGCAGTGAGCATCCACGATCCCGTCCCTCGCGAGGTTTGAACCCAGGGCCTATCAGTCTCGCGCCAGGCGCTTAAAGAACTAGACCACTGAGTCAGCATCCAACGGTGTTAGTGTCTAACTTCAACCAATCCACGAAGTTGCGCCATCATTCACCATTGTCTTCAGTGAGTTCAAATCTCACAACAGACGAAACGGCCGTTCAGTGCTTCCAGGTTTTCCATGGTGGTCTAGCTTCAAATGACTCATGATTTCAACCAGTGAAATATCATCGTCTTTGTTGTCGTTATAAAATGATAATTGAATTATATAATGTTTTAAAGTTAGAAATAAAAATCGTTGTAACCAATAAGCTTAGCTCAAAATCAGAGTAATGTAATTAAATTAGTGAAGTTTTCTTTTCAGACAGATGATCACAGTATAACTGGGTTTATTAAAAAAATCGTGAACCAACAGATTCTAATTTTGTGATCTACTGCAAGATGTAATTGAACTAGTTTTGATCCCTACTGTTGTCTCATTTCAATTAAGAGTTATTCACTCACATATATGTTCTATTGTGAGATACTAACTAATGTTAACTGAAACGTTGTTTCGAATAATATTTAAACCGAAGTGAAGCAAACAATTCAGCTCCATGTATTTACATTCGGATGTTGTTAGAAAGTAAACAAAACATTCATCATTCTCTATTGCCAAACACATAATTGAAACAGGTCATAAGATTCGTCTTAACTTGATATTTGTGGTGTTATACATAAATGTAAAATGGGCGTATACTAAGTTTAATAGTTGAGTTCATAAGTCAATTGAAACTAGACCAACATGGACTATTTGGAAGCTTCGGTCGATCTTTTCGCTCTAGTATGAAACTCTTCAACAGTGCCACGTCCATGTGATTCGAACTCAGAACCTATCAGTCTGATGCGCAAACACTCAACTTTTAGATCATTGGACCGTCATCCAATAGTGGTCTAGCTTCAATGGATTCATGAATTCAACGAATAAATTAATACAATACTATTTACATGAATGATTATGTTTCAATAATCATAGAAACTTCATATCATACTTACATAGTCTGATTGGATTGTGGTAAAGAACCATTTAATTTATTCATATTTACAAATAGATCATGATTAGATTGTATTGAAAATTTATCTTTATCATGAATTAATGGAATATTTGGTATATTTGTGGATTGATGACGTTTTACATAAAGAATAATGAAGATTATACAAATAATAACAGACACTATAAGAATTACAATTATCATCCAAACTAAATTACTTTTGAAATGTGAAAGATTTGAGTTGAATAGAGAATCTGCAATGAAAAAGTAATAAATATTAGATGTTTACTATACATTATGCTAAATTATATCAAACAATGAATGTTTATATGGAATGAAGAAAGGAAATAATAACTAGACAAAGTAATGTTAGTTTACTTCTAGAACACTGAATATATACATATGCATCACATACTTCGTCATTCGATTTATTTGAGGGCCGGGATACTGCCCGGGTGCTCAAACTGTAGTAGATAGTTTTCTAAGGAGGACCGTCGACAAGCCTTTAACCTAGAGGTCCAATCCACAAGACAGTAGAGCGACGTTAAGAGATGCAGTCTCATGGTAGACAGTAACCAATAATAGATTCATAAGAGCTTTACTCCCTCAGGATCCGGGTAGCTCATGTGCACCACTGGTTGAGAATCATGGATTTTTACCTACCATATGTGGAACATCCGCGTCCACTAAGCCGGACATTCGTAAATAACACCGTCTTCACGAGAAGTCAGTGAGTAGATTTTCCCTGGGAGTGGCTGTATACACACGGCAATATGAGATCATTTCGTGAGGAAGAACAAACTCTCCCCATTCTTGGCCGCATTTGGGCATTTGGGGGCAATTATTGTTAATCCTGTGACGGAATAACTTGTATGCTTAGAAAAACATCGACACCAAATCGGCGAATGTACCGTATTTATTTCATTTAACACGTATACAAATGCCCAATCAAAAAGATAATTGTGTTCAAATTATGCCGAGTGATTATGGAATAACATGACAAATTTTCTCAAATATCACTTCGTATCTAACTTCATCAATCTGTTAAACACCAAATTGTTAATCACAAACCGCATTATCATTGAGTCTAATTGAAGCAGATTTAGCAAAGATCCTTTTTCTTTGATTCGTTGTATTTTTTTCACAGAATATTCTCAGAACAACCAGAGTGAATCTGAATGATACTCATCTTTGACGAATTCAACCAATTTAATTTTTATTCATAAAATATGTTTCAGTAGATACAGTGACTATACAAATGTACTATTATGAAAATTCATTTAATAGTTCCGTAATTATCAATAAAGCATATAAAAATGTATATTGACAAAGATGAATAGTGACTTGCAGTGGAAGCCGATGAGTGTGTTTCGTCATAGTCGGAACACGTCAGATGGATGTACTTACATCTCATAGTTAGTGTTCACTCCAGAACTCCAACCCAATACTGTTCGTCTGAGACGTCATAATGTTATCTACTTAGCTACTGAGTCTTGATCGCCATTCGCTTGTGAAATAGAGTGAAGTTTAAATCCATTTGATATAGTTCATTTTGGATCCTTAGATTGATTCCACTGCTAACCACTATCCATCTTTATTTAAAAAACTTGTGACTTAAGACTATATCGAGGCAGTCCGCACAAGATGCACACATGTCAATGTGAGAGTGATCAATTGTAGTCCTAAACATCAATGAGAAGATTCAATTAAACAATACAAAGTGAATTTAAAACTTCAAACCATCGCAAAACCAAGTGGCTATCAGGACTCAGTAGCTAAGTGGATAATGAAATGGCGTTTGAAGTGAACAGTACTGTGTTCGAGTCCCAGAGTGAACATCAACTTCGAGATGCAGGTACATACAGCTGGTGAGTCACAAAGAAGACGAAACGTAAGTCCTTGTTTTGACTTATAGCCACTCACTATCTTTGCTTATAATACTTGTGACTTAAGGCTATATCCAGGCAGTCCGAACAGGATGCACATATGTTAATTTCATTATTATGGAACTTTACTTTTCTTGTTGAAAAGAATTAACAATTATAATAAATTATATCAGTAGTATATATATACCCTTAATATTATGGAAATGACGAAGTAATATCGAATAATTAGATCATATGATCATCTTGGAACTTAATCGACAGACTACAACAGGGACTATAGAATAAACACAATAGTCTAAAGTATTGATGTTTTAATCTATTAATTATGTTAGTTAACCATACATCAGATACAGATTTGAACCTAATCCTAAGAGGACATTTTCAATATTAATCATGCTAATCAGTAAAACTAAATCATACTTTCAGAGAATAATTTTTCTTCATGACAAATATCTGTCTGATTTCGTACACATATCCATATACGATAAGCAATATGTTGGTCCTTTTGAAGTTTCACACCAAGAGATGATTGATTATTATGCCCACCGTGAATTGATTGATTTGAAAAGTTGTCATCTAGAAAATATAAGAAATAATAATCAAAAAATGGTTGATGTAACTTTATATATAGAAGAAATTTATACAGCTAAGTAGATAACGCGATGGCGTTTGAGACAATCGGTACTGGGTTCCAGTCCTGGAGTGAACATCAACTCTGAGATGCAGGTACATCTAGCTGACGAGTCCCAAGTAGGACGAAGTGCGCTTCAAACCGGATACCACTACTAGCCACTATCCATCTTTACTGATGAAGCTTGTGACTTGTAGTAATATCGAGGCAGTCCCCAAAGAATGCACATATGACAACAAGAGACTGATCAAATGCAGTCCTGAATAACAATCGGAAGATACAAATAAACAACACCAAATGAATAGAAATTTATATGGTTCATCAGTATTCTATAATCAGTTGGTCATTGCTTATTGTTAATGTCATTAAATGACTGAACGTTTTACACTATAGAATCGGTTTACTTTGATACATGCCCTTTGTAATTAAATTGTTAGTTAGTAAGTAAGTTTTTGAACATTCGAATTTAAGTACCTCATTCCTTTTCATAGTTAAATATACTATGGTGAATGCTACGGATGTTGACAGATATAAGTAGTACGTATCATCAGTCGAAAGTGAAATATCTGCAGACAGAAAGTTAAGCAGATCGAAGAAAAGAGAACAAAAACAGAGAGTGATTAGTGTGGAAACGAAGGTGTTGTCAAATTTCAGACGACTAACTGACATTTTGTAAATAAAGGGTTTACTGTATGAATTCACTTGGTGTTGTTTTACTTGAATCATCCCATTGTTTTGGAGGAATGAAATTGATCAGTCTCTTGCTGACTTATGTGTATCCTGTACGGATTGCCTCGATACTGCCTAAAGTCACAAGCTTTTTAAGCAAAGATGGATAGTGGAATCCAGGATGTGCGTTTCGTTCTATTTGGGACTCATCATCTGGAAGTACCTCCATTCCAGAGTTAATGTTCTCTTCGGAACTTGAACTCACTTCAAACACCATCGCGTCCTAGAGTGAACATCAACTTTATGACGTATTTACATTCAGCTATTGAATCCTAAATAGGACGAAACCCGCATTCTGTATTCCACTACTAGCCACTATTCATCTTTATTTACTATGTGTGGTTCTCACATTTGACTAATATGTCCTGTAATTTTGTCTCCATTGGTGTTCTCGTTCACTTACTTTTGGTTAAATTATGCAGTATCAATGATTGTTTATAATTATATTTTTTTGATTTTTTCATTACTTTCAATGGATTTGGATCATCTGAATTCGCTTGTGCATATTCTATTTCACTATTATCATCATCCTCATCGTCAACATCCTCATCAAGATTATATTGTATTTGAGTTAGATTTGTTTTTACATGATGACGTAACTGCAGTTTAGAATCGATATGACCTCCATTATTATTATCATTGATGATGATGAATGGATCTATTTCAATGTAATCCATTGAAATTTCTTTATTCTTTGATATTATGAATCTGTTATGATCCATTGATGATTGACATGTATCTATGAATGTTGACCAATTTCTATGATTAATTTGTAAGTAGTCAGTTTTGATACAAAATAATTGTGAATCATTTCTATGTGAAAAGTTTAATTGAATGAAATCAATTTGATTGTAATTTATATTCAATTTTGGGAAGATAAGTTCTAAATAAAATCAATATAATAATAATAATCATTAAAATGATACCATACAATACAATACTTAAACTGTAAAGATATGATCAGAAAGGGGGGTTTGTGGAGATTTAATCGTTGAATTCATGATGTTAATTAAAGCTAGACCACCATGGAAAACCTAGGGGAACATGACGAACGTTTCGTCCTAGTGTGATACTCCTCAGAAGTGCGCATCTACGAACCCAATTCGTGAGATTCGAACCCTGGAACCATTGGTCTCGCGCGCAAACGATTAATCACTAGACCACTGACTGGCATCCAGCGGTGTTAATGTCTAACTTCAACTTATTCACAAAATTGAGCGACACATCCACCGCTGTCATCAGTCAGTTACTATCTCACAACAGGCTCGGTTGAACACCACTGGTCAGTACTTGTCAGTAAAACTCCAGGAAATAGATCTTGGAGACCGTCACTAGTGATCATATGCTGAATAATATGAGAAGAGATTTTTGTGGATATTGTAGTCATTTTAATAGTTGAGATCATGAGCCAACTGAAACTAGACCATCATGGAAAACTTTGAAGCACTGGACGGCCGTTTCGTTTTTGTATAGGACTCCTCCGTGACAGTTTTCATCCACGATCCTACCTGTATGTCTATGTAATTGTCTTACTTCAAACAATCAAAGAAGTTGCGCCATTGTCCACCTTTATCTTCAGTGAATTACTATTTCACAACGGATCTGGATTCGTGAATGGGCACCGCTGTGGAGTCTCATACTAGGACGAAACAGTTTTCTGATTATTCCACAAAACACCTCTCTGAATGTTTAATTCTAATTGTTTTTTTTCAAAAAATGATCCGAATTGAAATCATTTTAAATGGTCTGCCACAACTATTACTACTCCTATAAGAATTACGATGACATGTATATTGTTTATTGAAGTCTGAATTGATTTGAAGTCCATAGTTGAATGAGTGTTTGGTCTCGAGGAGACTGAAATGAATATAAGATTAGTTGACAACATGAAAAATCACAAAAATAACTTATTAGAGATTAATTTAAACTCAATAAGTAAATCTACTGTCAAATGTAAATTTTTAAGTTTAGGGGTTGTGGAGATTGTTCAGTTTTTGATTGAGATCACGAACCGATTGATGTTAGACCACAATTGAGAACCTGGAAGCACTAGATGACTGCTTCGTCCTATTGTGGGATTCCTCAGCAGTGCGCATCCATAATCCCGCCAGCGGGATCCGAACCCAGGGCTTTCAGTCTCGTACGCAAAGGCCTAAACTGCTGGACCACTGAGCCGGCATCCAGTGGTGTTAATGTATAACCTCAGCCATTCCATGAAGTTGCGCAGCTGAAGGTCCTTGGTTGGAATCCCGCGAGCGGGACCGTGGATATGCACTACTAATGGGTCCCACAATAGGACGAAACGGCCGTCCAGTGCTTTCAGGTTTTCAATCCTGGTCTAACATTAATCGGTTCATGATCTCAAGTAAATCTTTCACTTAAATCCTTATAAAACAAAATGGAAAAATAAAAATTTTTTTGTTTGTAATCATACTCATTAATATGACACTGATAAATAGGTTTATGAATTATGTAACTTTACTTCTTGGGTGTTTCGAAAATTAAATTTTTCCCGGTTTTAAAAAACAAACTACAAAATTGCACAGTAACACACACATTCACACATTTACATTGACGTATAATGTAGTTAACTATGAATAATGATAAAGTACTTAGTTAAATATTTGACTGAAATTAGTATTTATAAATAGTAGCTGAATTTGTAATTCATAAGCACTGATATACCTGTTAGATATTAATGTTGATTCAAGTTATTATATTACATTATATGATCACGTGTATTCGAACACTGACAGAGAAGTCCTACTCACTGACTTTTTGTAAAAGCGGGTTTTATTTACAAAATAGAAAGGATGAAAAACGAATGTCCAAGTTAGTGGACACGAAGTGTCCATCTCAACGAACTGGAAATCTTTTATTCCAAACCAATGGTACACATAGGATCCAGCATCTTGAGGGAACAAATGGCTTATGAACTAATTGTTGGTCACCACCTGCCATGGTACTGCATCTCCTTACATTGCTCCACAACCTTGTGGATTAAACCTTTAGGTTGAAGGCTCCGGGTGTGTCCCCCTAAGGAAACCACCTATTTCGGTCTGGGCACATGGGCAGTAACACAGCTCACACACAAGCCAATTGACTTGTGTTGCGCATATGTATTTTCAGTGCCCCTATGTAACAATATTTATGTACCCAAACAAATAAATATTCAGTACTGAAAACAAAGTGTTATCTGTTACAGTAATTAGATGGTCAGTCATAGAAATTATTCTAACAGAAGCAAAATAGAAATTATGGAATGATTCTGAAACTCCAGATGTGTTTCGCCCATAGAGATTAATTATGAATCATGTCATCCAACGTCTACAAGTATTAATTATAAATATTTCCTTTACCTCAACAATATCATTTGACTTCCTCAACATGGATCATTACAATAGTCAGTGTTTTTATACCGATGTCGCTTTTTAGTCTGTCTAGTTTATGATGTCTTCCAGCCCATTCCTACACTAGCCGATATAAAGGGTAGAGGTATGGTGTGGTTGAGCATACTTAAGATACAAATACAGCCGATCGATTTACCACAACTGTAGTAAAATGTAAATTGAGTTGACGAAAATATTTCTTTTCAATTCTATAAACCATAAATATGACTGACGACTCTCAAACTGAGACAAAACAGTCGCTTCTTTATTTTCATTGTAGTTTAACCAAGTCAATTCAATGATGGAATTAAGAAACTCTGCAACTACAGCATAAACAGATTGAAAACTCTGTTAACTGGCCTATCTATAATCAAAAGTTGAATAATTCAATAACACAATTGAATATTTCACCTTTAGTAGTAATTGTATATTCTTTAGATCGTTTACCATGTCCCAAATAATTTTTTCCATAAATTACAAATGTGTAAATGGTATTTGGTGTTAAACCTGATAAATAATGAAAAAAAACCAAATTAGATTGTAAGTTTGATGCAAATGATATTTCAACAAAATACTTCTTCATATGATAAACAAGTAACTTGGTAAAATAGTCGTGTCGGTTCCGTTTATTGTATTCAAAGTGTAGATTCACATGTATCTAGGGAGGGGGGGGAATATCAGTGATATGACAGAATCCGAAGTCATGCGATAGAAGATACTTTTAGAACTCAGTTGAAGGATTACGAGTATTCATCAAAAGGTCGACAATAAAGTAAAGGAGAAAAACAGTGCATAATATTTAGTTCATCTTAAAGAGTTGGAAAAATCAAACTAATGGGAGATACAACCAAAACAAAAAGGTAAACAATGACAGGTTTAAAGTTAACAAGAATTCATCAACATCATGATCTACAGGACAAGTTGTGAGCCATATGTGGGGGAATTTGAACACTTCATTTCTATTTGAAGCTTGTACTGATGATGTCTTTCAGATGAGCAATGAAATCTCCAAGACCAAACCATCCAGCTCAGAGAACAAAACTCCATCAAAATCATCCACTTGAGTTATCAATCTTCCTCACTATCTCTAAATTATCATTAATATGCATCTGTAATTTTGAAGAGAACCATACTCTCCAACTTAATAAAACTAGTGTCACTTAGCGTCATACTGAGACAAGTGACCTCTTACCTATTCCTGTTGGAAATTTTTCTCCATGTTACTAAGGTGTTTACGTTGAATAATAAGTAAGCAACATAATATAGTCTCGTCTATAATGTTGACCGAGTTCTATTCATCAATTATCAATGTGATTACTGAACTAAGTTATTGGATATTCAATACACTACACCTTTGGATTCTGTTTGTTCTCATTTTTCTAGAGGTAGATTAATGGAAGTAGATACCTGCATTGAAATAGTAACTGTGCGAAATTACAATATTGCGGTGCGGGGGGGAGTGATTTATTATTTATGATGTAATAAATAAATGAATATATTCATTACTGATGTAAAGATCATTCATTGAAATTGAATTCAGTTACTGTCTCAGATATTTTGTATCTGGTTTAAACAGAACGTTTCTAGGTGATAGACTGGTGAAATAAACGATGTCCCGTGTAGGAAAACTGATTCAACAATAAAATAGAATATATCCATAAATGACTTACCTGATATTTGACATTGTTGATATATTGGTAATCTTGGTACATGATTGATGAATACTGATTTTGGAAGATTATTTACTGTAGTTAATTGATCTTTATGTAAAACTTTTAAAAATTGTATTACAATAGTTTGTTCATAACCACCATCAAATCCAGGAATCCAACTAAGTGTTAATTTATCCCATGTAATTTCTTTTACTTCAATATTTTTTGGAGTTTCAGGTGTACCTATATTGTAGTTTATATAATAAAGAAAAAAGAATGATTGTATCTGATTTAAACAGGATGTTATTAGGTAATGGACTAGTAACAAATATATTTATATTCATTTATTATGATAGGTTCTGGGTTCGAATCTCACGAGGCGGGATCGTGAATGCGAACTGTCGAGGAGTCCCATAATAGGACAAAACGGCCGTCTAGTGATTCCAGGCTTTCAATGGTAGTCTGGCTTTAATTGATTCATGATCTCAACTATTAAAATTATTATAATATCCACAAAAACCTCTTCTGATATTAATCAGCATATGATCACTAATGACGGTCTCCAAGAATTATTTCCTGCAGTTCTAGTGAGAAGTAGTGACCAATGGAGTTCAATCAGCTCTGTCGTGGAATAATAACTCATTGATGACAACGATGGATGTGTCGCTCAATTTAGTGGATTAGTTGAAGTTAGACATTAATACCGTTGGATGGCGGCCGGCTCAGTGGGTCCATGGTTCAAGTCTCACGAGGTGGGATCGTGGATTTGCATTACTGAGGACTCTCATACTAGGACAAAACGGCTGTCCAGTGCTTTCAGGTAATCCATGGTGGTCTAACTTTAATTGACTCATGATCTCAACCATTAAAATGACCATAGTATCCACATAAACTCCTTCTCATACAAATCATTTTCACCTGATTGGTTCAATTGAGTGTAATCTGAAAACGACTACTCTTATTATAAGACTTTAATAAATATGTAGATTGATTACAGTAGTATTTGAGGACAAAAAAACTAGATCAAATTAAAGAACAGTATAGATTGTTTTAATCCAGTTTAAGTGGAGATTATCTTCATAAAAATCACTTCTAGAAATATGAAGTAATTCTCTATAATCATCTCATTCATCTAAGATTGAATTCATAATTACCTATACAGACTGTCTTTTCAAAAGTCCTTAAATTCATATGTATATAACCGTACTTATCTTAAAACTTCTAAAGATCAGTATAAAATTGTTGTAAAGATTGTTGAGTTTCAATATGAGATTATGAACTAATTAATGTTAGACCAGCATGAAATACTTGAAATCACTGGACAGACATCTAACATTGGTCGGTTGATGAACTCACTTAAAAATAAACAATTTTCACAATCCTATACTGATAATTATCATGTGCTCGCTCGTGAATATGTATGAGAGGTAATTCTCGGAATTCTAACGAGAAGCCGTGATCAGTGCAGTGTAAACCGTGTCGAATGTGAATTTGTTATACACTGAAGACAATGGAAGATAGTGGTGGAATCTCGTGAACTGAATGAATTTAGACATTACCACCATCGGATATCGGTTCAGTGGTCTAGAATTTAAGTCTTCTCGCATAAAACTGAAGGTCCTGGGTTCGACTCCTAATTACGGGTTAATCGATGAACACTGGTAAGGGTTCCATATATATATGATTACGTCATCAAGGAATATCAAGCTTTGGATGACATATTAGGATAAAAGTCGAATGAACAAAAACAATGTTCTCATAGTGAGTTTATAATTTATGGACAACCTTTAAGCAGCGCTAAAATGACCTTAGAATGTCTACCTATTTACTTTGCATAAGTGAGAGTTATAGATTAGTGTAAAGAATTAAGATTAGAATTCACCGTTGAACGTTAGGGTTGGAAATAAGATTTAATATTTTCATGACGAGTTGAAATCAGCTATAATGCCAAAACTGTATTTAGCGCCAAAATCCAAGATCTGCTATTCTATACCTGATTGGTTCGTTCATAAATTATAGTCTTGCCTGTTTTCATTTTTAGAGATAATATCATCAATCATGTAGAAATTAGTCATTTAATTTCTAATTTTCCGAATATGAATGCAAGTTTTGTAATATTTGCATAAAAAAAAAGAAACAAGTTACGTTATAAATATCTGAACAACAAGTCGAACGTAGAAACCGATAAGATTTGAATACATAATCCCTTATTTTAGTATTTGAAATTTGATTTCGTCCTATGATATATTCATATACGGTGTCGTCCATTTCGATGTTGGCGTTCAGATCTCCTATCATGATATTCAGGTCCTTTTCTGAGCACTTCGCTATGATCGATTAGAGCCTCACATACATCTGATATTTATTATTATCTTTGATATCATTGGTGGGTGCATACCACTCAATAACATTTATTATATTCCTTTCCCTTTTTGTTTTAAAGAATGCTTTGATGATTCTGGATTCATTAGATTACATCCTATAGGTGTTTTTGTTACATCTTTGGACAGCATTCGTGCAGTTGCCTGTGTATTCGATGTATTTTGTTCTTCGTTACCAGAGTACAACATAAACTTTGAATGTAACTTTTTCTACCAAGCTCCTGCTTATTGGGCTTCACTAATATCGCATATTAACATGTTATCTCGTCATTTCTGCAATTATTAGACAAGTTCATCTGATTTCCCAGATTGTCAGAACTTTCCATGTACCTATGAAGTACCGCTAGTCGACTTGACTTTCCTAAAAATTCGTATATCTTCTAGTAGGGCAGGATTTTGTCCAAACATGAGGAATCAAAGGTATGGAGAATGTTTTGTGACGTTATTATTTCCAAAGCTACGAAGTAATTAATACCAAATAAAGAAGAAATGAACCCTGAAACCCTTCGACAAATATACCGAAGATATCTATATCCTTCAACTAACAGCATAATACAATATATTTCTCTGACCAGGATCAAATGTTGACAAAATCTTCCGCGTGATGTTATGCGTCAATTCATATGTGGAACGCAATTCTTTCACTTAACTATATCTCATATTTCTACCAACCTGGATGAATACAAAACTTGCTAACACATTCATTTATTCGTAATGCCTTACTTGGCAACAAACATATTTTGGTGCTATGTAGACTGCCAAAAATCAATATTGTTTATAGTCTTTTCTAATGTTTTATTGTGTTAAGATATTCTGTTATTCTATTATAATCAGTTATTTAGTTTCATATTCATAATAAAAGAAGACAATTATACTTGATAGGAATAAACTTATAAATGATCTTTCTAGAAACATATTACAAACTGATAAGATTCAGGATATCAAAACAGAGTTCCATTAAAAATAAGTGAGGATTGAAATCGAATGTATCTTATATTACCACTAGTTTGAATCAATATTCAAATGAGAAATTAAAAATAATCATAATAGTTGAATTCATAAGTCAGTAATGCTAGACCATGATGGAAAACCTGGAAACCGTTTCGTCCTAGTACGGCACTCATCAGCAGTGTGCATCCACGATCCAACATGCCACATTTGAAACCATGAACACTTCACCTGTATACCACTTAGCTGGCTACAACAGTGTTAATGTCTAACTTCAAACAAACCACGAAATTTCACTACCGTGGTTGTACACTATTGAGACGTCCATTGCTTGCAAGTTTTACATGTTGTTCTAGCTTTAATCAACTCATGAGTTCAACTATTAAATGACTGCAATCTCCACAAAATCTATCTTCTGATAATAATCATCATGTGTTGACTAGTAACTTGCTTGAAGATGTATTTCCTAGAGTTCTGATGAGAAACGATGACCAGTGGAACTCAATCAGATCTATTATGAGATCATAACTCACTGAAGATAATAGTAAACGATGATACAATTTTGTGAATCAATTGAACTTAAACATAATATTTAACATATTCGAAGAATATAATATTTACATTTTCTTTTATTCAGACACACTATTAGTAACAACCTAATGTGGGAAAGAACAAACCAGATCGCAGTGGAGGAAGAAATCAGGAAGAAGCGCTGGAAGTGGATAGGACACACATTGAGGGAAGCACCCAACTGCATCACAAAACAAGCCCTCACGTGGAATCCTCAAGGCCAAAGGAAAATAAGAAGATCAAAGAACACATTACGCCAGGAGATGCAGACAGAAATGAGAAAGATGAACAGGAATTGAATGGAACCAGATAGGAAGGCCCAGGACAGAGTGGGTTGGAGAATGCTGGTCAGTGGTCTATGTTCCATTAGGAGTAACAGGCTTAAGTGAAGTGAAGAAGAGACACACTCACTAAATAGAAGCCTTATCACAATAATTATTGAAAGATAGTTAGTTCACTTACTATAATTTTGTAATAGGATGATACATTGTTGACAACCTTCATCATTTATAATATAAGATAAATAAACACCAAATTTAAGCGCAGAATTGAATTCCTTCCAAACTAAATTAGTTAAATATAATGAATCCATATATGTAACATTCATAGTAACATAATAATCTTTCAAAATTGATTTCACTTTATTTCCTGTGTATAATTCAATATGAACATTTTTAGTTTTATTATTTTGATTATCATTCAATTGATTTTTTTTCTGCATAGCAACTAATGTTAATTGATCATGAGGTATTTGTTGTTGTTGTTGTTGACATAATGATTTCAAATATTGATTTTTATGAAAACTATTTAAATATCTATCAAATGTTTGAAATGTTATATAATACCAAATAATTTTATTAGGGGGTGGATTAGCTTTAAAAAAACATGTTAATTTCTGTGTATGATTATGAAAAAATGATTTTTTTGAAATGAGTGTTGAATTGATTAAATGTTTATGTAGTTGCTGTGGCGATTGTTGATAAGGAATTGTTTGTTTTATTATAGATTGATGTAATAAAATGGGTGGATCTAGATATTCAAAGTAAAACGAAAAAAGTAAATACAATTAGAGGTTTTGGAAGGGGTTTTGTAGATAGTGTAATAATTTCAGTAGTTGAGATCATGAGTCAATTGAAGCTAGACTCACTGATGACAATGGTGAATGTATTGCTTAATTTCGTGGATTAGTTGAAGTTAGACATTAACACCGTTAGATGCCGGCCACCTCAGTGATCTAGTGGTTAAGCGCTCGCACACGAGACCCATATGCCTTAGGATAGAATCTCGCGAGAGGGGGATCGTGAATGCCCACTACTGAGGAGTCCCACAGTAGGAAGAAATCGCCGTCCAGAACTTTCAGGCTTTCCCTGGTGGTCTAGCTTCAAATGACTCATGATCTGACCTATTATAATTAGAGGTCTGTATGTAAATGAAAAAAGAAAAAAAAGATATTACGCAATGTAACTGGACTATCATATATATTTTAAAACAAAATGATTGTAAACTGGAAATTGATATGTTCATTATAAATGAACAAATAAATTATTTTCTAAAAACACCTTCAAAAGTTATGTTTGTTTAGAGGTGTAGTGTCTTAGTTTCCTTAACCAATCACCTTGATAACCGTTATTATATAAATTCCCAACGATGTTTGAAATCAGAAGGCAATAAGAAACGGCGACTATAGTGTATTTCCGAATAGCACAATTTACAAATCTACAATCATGTTGAGTGAATTTGAAGCAGAAAGGTGAATGTATAAGTAAGCGAACGAATACAGAGGTGGATTTATGGTCAAATTGAATCAGTTCGTGATGAAAACCCTAAATCTAATTTCTAACTTTAATCATCAACCGTAAATCATAATCTATATTCCTCACATAGGTTTATAATCATCGTTTGGTTTTGGTTATTAGGTGAACACTCTCAAAGTCACTTTAGCGTCGCTCAAAAATCGTTTATAAATTATAGTCTTACCAAATATTTATCAAGGAGATTATTCAAAATATGATTAAGGCATTGGAAACTATTATATGACGCATGTTTCATCCTATTTAGGACTCGCATATGATACACATTATGCCAAGAAGAGACTGATCATTTGAAGCCCTAAACAATAGTGAAAAGACCCAAGTTAACAATACCAAGTTAATTAAAAGAATTGAAAATTTATAATGACATATTCATGAATAAAGTCTTAGAATGAGACTAGAATTTATGGATGACCTTTGACCGACACTAGACTGACTTTGAGAGTGTTCACCTAATAACCAGGACCAAATGATGATTATAAATCTGTATGAGGAGTAAAGATTATGATTTACAGTTGATGATGTAGGGTTTTCATCACGAACTGACATCAGTTATAATCACAAAACTCAATTTAACCAAATGGATAAGTGAATTTTGCGCCTGTTATCTTATATCTGATTGGTTTGTTCATAAGTTATAGTCATGTCAGTCTTAGCTATTCTAAACATTCTCTATCTATCTATATACATACTCAGTATGAGTCTAAAAGAAAGTTTAAGAAACTATTTGACATTTAGATAAATTAATAACCAATCGATTTCTTTCTTTTTTTTTTGTTTGTAATCTAAGAGTCATTTAGTTGCCAAATGGACTTTTGTTTTTTCCCCTATTCATGTTCTTGATATTAATGATTCATGAATGTATTAAATACAAAGTAATTCACTAAATAGTTACTATTTATTAATGGATAAGATATATGTTTAAAGCTAAATTGTTAATGTACTCTTAAGTGGAATTATGATTAGATTGAATAAAAACAAAATGAAATCATTAAAGGAAATAAAGAATAATATACAAATGTCTTTCATATAAGATTTTATATTGTGGTATATATATGCTACTGATGTCGATCGATATAAGTAGTATATATTATCATTTGAAATTGAAATCTCTGGAGATCGAAAGAAAGAGAAGGAGAACAGAGAATAATTGGTGAGGAAACGAAAGAGCAATTAAGTCTAAGGCGGTTGATTGACATTTTACAAATGAAGTATTTTGCTGTATCGTTCTAAGATTTTATCAAGTGATTCTGTAACTTTGTATCTAGATACATTTGACTTTCCCCCACTGTTGTTCTCGTTCACTATGATAGATCTGAAAACAAATTATTATGTTTGGCGACACATATAACACTGCAAGTTTATTCATAGAGATCATTGCATAAAAGATAAATTAAGTTTGGAATCTTTTCAGGGACAATGTTAACTATGAGTTCGTAGTATTGATTGTACCTAAAATTGCAAGTACAAATGTAATAAACTTAAAATTTTCTCCTTTATAGAAAAAGAGACACTAACCAGAAAATAAAATAAAAGAGAATGGAAGGAATAAAAGGATAAAAATGAACGAAACTATTGGTACAAATGGGCACGAGATACATATGCGCCATACAATAATAATGAGAATCGAACGAGATAAAGGATGTAAGGTGCGTGTAAAAAGATAAAGAAAAATAGAAAACAATAAAGACCACAAATTACTTTATGTTAGTGAAATAGTAATAATAATGGGGGAAACAGAAAGGTACAACCAGAAATAATTCCTTCAGTTAGGGAAGTTACAGTTACTTTTTATGAAGAAAGTAGAAGAAAATTACAGTGGGATCGCCACTGGCTTCTATTCTGAGCCATATCTGATACCGTCTCTAGTCACTGTGTTCCAGCATCTCTAGGACGCCAACCAGAGGGTCGTGAATGACCAACAGAAACCAGTCCTGTGCAGCTTTCTTTCATACCACAACATCATGTCATACACTGACCACCTCTCTGCTTATTCCAACCAGTCCCAGAGTCGGCAAATAATACATGACGAGGAATTATCTGGGATGGGGTTCGTAGAACATGTCCAAGACACCGAATTATCGTCTCTGCGTCCGAACACATGATGCCGAACCTCTGCAGTACTAACATGGTGTTGCCAATGGATGTCAGCAATCCTTCGGAGACAACGATGATCAGACATAGAGAGTCGTCTAACATCCTCAACTCGGAGAGGTCAGGTTTCACAAGCATAGAGCAAAACTGCTCTCACCGACGTGTTGTAGATCCGAACTTTTACAGCCAGTCTGACATCATGAAGGCGCCAAAGATGGCTCAGATTGGCATAAGCCGCTCTGGCTTTCGCTATACGTGTATTGATCTCATCACTCACGCCAGCACCAGCATTTATGCAGCTACCCAGATACACGAACTTCTCGACTACTTCTATCTGCTCACCACCCAGGGTGGCTAAAGGATTAGAATCTTGCCAGCCTTGTTAAAGTACTTTGCACTTAGAATGTGCGAGGCACATACCATACCTACGGACACTGATTGCCAACTGATTAAGTGCGGATTGCATGCCTTGTGTATTATCTCACAGTAAGACAATATCATCTGCGTACCCAAGGTCGAGAAGTCTTTCTCCAGGCAACAGATCCACACCTCCATTACTTATATCCATCAGATTTGTTCCCAGAATGTCATCAATGGCTCGAATACTGTAACCAGAGGAAACAGAAAACAATTATTCAATCAATATTCTACAGAATTAAGTCACTCTCGTCCTTTGTTCATAGTATCGATGCTACGTCTCCTCTAAAAATCACTTAAATGCTCTTATCCCAGTTAATATATCTCATTCCACATGTGAGGTTAAAAGAACTTTAAGTAGTTAATGGTTTTCACTACTCAGTCCACCAAGTAAACCTCCCTACCTGCTTGTAATTTACATTCACATAGACTCTGTTAACCTTAACTCAGTCGAATGATATCTAAATCAAACATTACACAATGAAATAACCTGACACATTTATTATAGTTGACCTGACTGGATATGTGTTATTAAGTCTCGTTTTAGTTCTTCTTTAGTCTCAGTTTCCGTTTTATTTTCTCTAATTGTATACTATCCTTTATGGTAATTGAAATGATCTTTGATACACTGTCCATTCATCAATCGAATGTCCATTTAAAAAGAATGGAAGCTAGACCACCATGGGAAACCTGGAAGCACTAGATAGCCTTTTCTCCTGTTGTGGGACTCCTCGGTGGCAGTGAGCATCCATGATCTCGCCGCGTAAGATTCGAACCCATGTCGTCATTGGTAATAACGATTATTTCTAGACATCTAAGAAAGTTATTCTTATAATCTAGGCTTTACGAATCAGATAAGTTGTCATGGAAACATAAAAAACAAAACAAAATACATTGCGCTTGTAAACACACACTTCATAGTAGATAGTAGAGAAAATGTTTTTCACATACATTTTAAAATTATATGTACCGGGTTTGAGTATTCATAACCGAAATTATTGATTGCTTGACATGTATAACTTCCTTCATTCATAATATGAAATGAATGACATTTAGTTTGTATATTATTTAATGATTCATTATAACCCCATATTAATTCACTTGTTGTCTCCCATGTATATGAACCAGTTTCATATTCAATACATTTAACAGTAGTCGAAATTTTCCTCCATGAACAATGAATCTGAAGGAAAAGACAATCAAATAGGTAATATCAAAAGAGGGTTTCTATGGAGATTTTAGTAATTAAATGGTTGAATTTGTGTGTTAATTAAAGCTAGACCACTGTGGAAAATCTGGAAGCACTGGACGGCCGTTTCGTCTTAGTATGAGATTCCTCAAAAGTGCGCATTGACGATCCCGCACGTCACATGAACGCTCAACGCTCAACCACTAAACCGATATCCAGTGGTGCTAATGTTTAACTTCAACCAATCCACGATATTGCGCCACTGTCCACCATTGTCTTCGGTGAGTAATTATCTTACAACAGACCTGGTTGATCTTCACTGATCACGGCTTCTCACTAGAACTCCAGGAATTGCTTTTGGAAGCCAGTCATTAGTGAGCACAGGATGATTATTATCCAAATGGTGATTTTTGTAATTTAATCAAAAAATCAGTGTTTTATTTAATGTACTAGTGAATAGAAAATATTGAGTTTTCTGATGTTTCTTAACTCAACATCAGTTGCTTCTTCGGAGAATATGATAAACCTTGATAATGATAACTATAAACTTAAATTGTAAGTAATTGTTCAAACAAAACAAATATTTCATAATAGAATATAATCAGATGATTACATGATTATTAGCTTTATTCAGTATTATATTTTTGGTACAATATAGAATTCTCAACATTAAAGATCTCAAGAAGTTCCCGTTTCGCATTTCTTGATCGATTTCGTTGACAAATATTGAGTAGTTGACAGCTATAAGTTAGCAGTCCAGGAATCTACATCTGAATAATGTATATTCTTTCCGATGCATATCGTCAGTAACGACGGTATCTTGGATCGAGCCTTTTGTAACTTGTACAACGACATGTAGTACACCTTTCACAAGCTCACTTGAATAAATTATGTGGTTAATAGCCATAATGATGTAATACGACAAAAAATTAGATAACTTGTTGAAACATCAAGATAGCAAGAACAAGTATCCCAGATGTTCAAGCACGCTGTTGTAGGGCAACTGAAATGTCACTGGGCCCTAGACAAATCATTCAGCAGTTGGGTTACAGAATATCGAAAAGATCGTCGATCACTGTCAAGTTCGATGAAAACCAACGCGCATCAGTTAATCGTATGCCATGGACTGGCCCATGCGGTGGTGTTCTAGCTATCTTCTCTGTACTCATTCTTTCTAATACATTTCCATAATAACGTCCTTTGTGTTATGTGGTCTTCAAAGCAGCCATAGTACATTGATACGTCCAAGGGGTAGTCCATGTTAGATTCTGACCACGAGGTGTGCCTGGAGGTTAGCTGGTTCATCATAGCATTCCCGTCTAACTCGAGCAGACCTCCAATCATTCGATATAGATCATCTACGTTGGTGATCTACACTATGATTGTTATATTTATATCACTATAATACAGAATCAACTATCTGACTTCCCTCAGATTCAACATTTATCATTTACATTCATTTTGAATATATAGTAAAACATTCATCAATATGAACTTACATCATTTAAGGTTCTTAGTGTAGTAGAATTCATAGTAGTTGATGTTGTACGAATAATGGAATTATCATGGAACCAATTAATTTGTGGTGCAGGTTTACCATGAGCAACACAACGAAGATAAGGTGTAGAAATTGAATTAAAAGATGGATTTAATACATTATCAATATTTGGTTGTTCAATTATTTGTGGTTCTTCTAAACAACAGTAAAAATAACCAACTATCATATGTTATAGTTACAACAAGTTTGAAAAATCTGACATTAATTAATATACGTTATGTACAAAAATCATCAATAATCCATAGTGATGTGTAGTCTCACATATTAATGATTATCTAATTATAGTAACTTAGTGAATAATGCGTTGCTGTATGGAGAGAAATGCTGCAAGTTCACACTTCTGTCTAATCATCAACCAATGACGGGTTCATACTCGGATAAAACACTCATTCCATGGTGTATGCTACTTATATCAACATAAGTAGTATACAATGCTAGTCAGAAATAGAATATCTGGAATCAGAAACTCGAGAAAATCGAGAAGGAATGAACGGGAATAGAAGGCAATTGATATAAAAGTACAGGAACAATGAAGTATTAGACGATCGACTGATATTTGCGAAGGAACATCCAAGTTTAAGACAATTGATGAACATGTTGCAAATGAAATATTTACTGTATGGCTCTCAGATTTTACTAAGATTTTGTGTTTAAATACATTCGATTATGCCCACTTGTACTCTAGTTCACTGCAATTCTGTATCCCAATACATACCAGCAAGCGAATTTATTATGAAATGCTAATTGAGATATGAATTCCGGAACCCTGGTTTCCTAATATCAGTAGTATATTGTATTAGTAATCCGTAATAAAGTTCTCATTCCTGTAGTACGTTGTTATGAAATAAACTAAATCAAATATTATCATGGAGATAAAAGTATTTTTCAAACCAACATGTAATAAACATTAATTGAGACCGAACATAACTGTTAGCATTAGTGTAACTAAGTCACTGACTATTGACCTGGGTGATAAATTCACTGAAAATTAGAATGTGATAGAAGTCTTAAATGTGAACCAATGGATGTCAAATCATTATTAAGACGATATTAGGCTGATAAATTTGGGATGAGACCCTTAGTTAGAACGCGGATGTGCATAGATGAAGAGTTATCTTACGTAAGGAAGTAATGGCTGTCCAATGTTTTCTTCATTCTCAGTTGTTGACCAACTAATGATAGTCTGTGTTGAAAACAATGAAATAATAATGAACTACAAACGATCTACGGTAAATTTTACATATAATAGATACTTGCAAAATATGATTAAGTTGTCAGTTGACCAAAAACGAAGAGGAAGACCGAAAACACACATTACGCCGAGAAATGGAGACAGACATGAGAAGAATAATCAACAATTTGATAGAACTAGAAAGGAAGGTTCAGATCAGAGTGTGTTGGAGAATGCTGGTCGGCGGACAATACTCCATTGGGAGTAATTGACATAAGTAAGTAAGAAAGTTAGTGACAAATTGTTTGCCGTATTACAATGTTCAGCTGATCAACCGTACTTTGTAAAGTAAATATGTTTACCATATGTAATGGAATGATTAAATAACTTATATATTGTAATAACAATAAGCTTACCTTGCACTGTAATACTGACTGGATCACTTATTGCATTACCATAATCATTTTGTACTAGACAATAATAAAAACCATCGACAAATGTATCCGTTAAATTGATTAATAATTGATCTTCATTATCTGAAAATTTCGGTTTAAATGGTATTGGAGTAATTAAATCTGATGATTTTGTTTTACAAGAATTTGAACTCCATAACCATTCGATCGAAGGAATTGGAAGTCCAGGGACTAAAAGAAATAATGTTAAAAAAGAAAATTGTATCTTGTCTTCATTCATTGAATATTCATGCTACTTTAAATATTGTGAGATTAAACGATATTGTTTACTAAATTCAAACTCTAGAAATGTATGCAATAAGCCTTAGTGTGATTATTATCTTGTTCTATACATTACTTACTTAGTTACTCCTGTTACCTGTCGTCAAGGAGCATAGATTGCTCACTGTCACTATCCATTCAATTCTGTCCTAAGCAATCATTTCCAGTTCTTTTCAATTGCTATTCATCTTTATCATGTCTACTTCTAGTTTCTGATGTAGTGTGTTATTTGGCCTTCTTCTCTTCCATTTCCCTTCAAGACTCCATGTTAAAGCATGTCTCATGATACAATTTGATGATTTTCGTAGTGTATGTCCTATTCACTTCCAACGTCGTTTCACAATCTCCTCTTCAGTTGAAAGCTGGTTTGTTCTCTCTCACAGTCGGCTGTTACTGATGGTATCCGGTCAACAAACATTCAGTATATTGTGTAGACAATAGTTCATAAATATTTGTATACTTTTGATGAAAGCTATGGTAGTTCTTCAAGTTTCAGCTTCGTACAGTTGGACAATCTTGATGTTCGTATTGAAGATTCTGATTTTGATATTGTTTGACAGTTGGTGCGAGTTTCAAATGTCCTTTAACTGTAGGTATGCTGCCTTCACTTTTCTAATCCTCGCCTTTACGTCTGCATCGGATCATCGTTGTTCATGGATGATGCTTCTCAAGTACGTGAAATATTTCAAATCTTACAGAGATTCTCTATCACATGTCATTAGATTGGTGCTTTTTGTGTTGTATTTGAAGATCTTGCCATTATGTTATGGAATATATGTTAAAGCGTCCAATTCGCAGAATGTCCTACTTTCAACGGCATTTAACGATATTGTTTTACAAAATGTATATAAAGCAATTTGTGTTTTTGATTGAGATCATGGACCAACTGATGTTAGACCACCATTAAAAACCTGTAAGCACTAGACAGCTGTTTCGTCCTATTATGGAACTCTGGAGCAGTGCGCATCCACGACACCGTCCACGGGATTCGAACTTAAGGCCTTCGATCTCGCAAGCGAACGCTTGACCCCAAGACCACTGAGCTTTTATCCAACGATGTTGATATCTAACTTCGACTGATCCATGAAATTACGTGACCATCTTCCACTGTACTGAGGTAGATACCTGTCTCTACCCGACACGGATTAGCTCCGCTGGTCACGACTCTGAGGATTCCCTCACTAGTGAGTATATGGTAATTCTCATTATGGGGTTGTTATGATTATTATGTTTTTTGATTGAGATCATGAATCCATTGATGTCAGACCACCATTGAAAACAATTCAAATTGTCAGTTATATTTTTTTTACATGTCAAACAAGTATATCCCTAACGAAACAAACAGTTTTATGGCATACAAAATTTTGATAACTTACGTCTAGCATTCATATTACATTGTAATATTACAGTTATGTTTTCATCAGTTTGCGGATTTGAAGTTTTCTGAATTGTTGGCTTACCGGGTGAATCTTCGTTAATGAAAAAAAGTAACATACCATAAGTTAGATTATTTTTTTAATCAAAATCTAGTAGCTAAGTCGACAACGCGATGGCGTTGTAAGCGAACTGTACTGGGTTTGAGTCTCATAGTGAACATCAATTTTGAAATGCCGGTTTGTCTAGCTAACGAGTCCTAAATAGAACGAAACGAGCTTGCTGCATCACACTTCTAGGCCAGTATCCATCTTTCCTAGACGTTTATTATCTGGGGCAATACAATCTTTTAAACTGTTAGTCCACTGGAAAGCTCTATACGTTTCGAAGAATTCTAGAATTTCGGAAGTCATTTATGTCATTATCAGTTTCCATAGTCTAAATGAGTTAATATCATTTGAATTTTCATTATTTCAATGTTTCATAGTAGTGCGATATTCAGAAACGGACAAATATGAATGATAACAGCTCAATAAACAATCGATGAATATATCTATCCTTTATTAGGTAAGTTCCATCACTGATAGTAATGAAAGGTTGAAGTTTCACTAGATACATTAAAAATTTTCAGATTATAAACGCAACTCAGTGATGAATACTAATTTGTAACAAGCCAAGATAAAGGTACCCGTCAAAATCGTCAGTTTACTTCGTTATTGTGTTTGACTTTATAAGGTGGAGATAAGGTATACAACTGCGACACTCGAATGTATAGAACCCCTCAGTCGCAAAATCGGAAGACAGAAGAAAGCTGGAGGACTGTTTGTTGGGTAAAAAAAACCAAAACCATGGATATTTATAGATATTAGCGTTTGTTATAACATCGTTTTACTTCAGCCAATCTGCAAAGAGGCATGTTACTCTACCGTCCAATAGTAACATATGACGTTGATATTCTAAAAAGCTCCACCACGTTCTGATTAGATGGAAACTTTTCGAGTTCTTTAGAGCCTTTCGAGTCTTCGTCAAAGTTCCTGGAAGCCGTCCTAACACTCTTACAGTTACATTGTAAATTGTTGATTTTGTGTTATTTCTTCCAAACTGTTCCGTTTTTGTCCTATTGTTATTTTATTACTTATTTGAAAGCATAGATATTGGTATAAGGGGGCACCAGATACATATACGCCACACAAATCTCATTTGATTTGTGTGGAGGCTGTGATATTACCCGGGTGCCCAGACCAAAGAAGGTGGTTTTCTTAAGGGGCCACACCCGGAGCCTTCGACCTATAGGTCTGATCCAGGAGATGTAGTCCCACGGTAGCCGGTGACCAACGATTGGTTCATACGCCATTTGTCTCCTCAGGGTCCTGGAGCTAATGTGTACCATTGGTTTGTAATCAGGGTTTTCCAACTCCCCTAAGTGGACTCTCCGTGTCCACCAACCCGGTTAAAGCGCCGGAAATTTGCTTTTCGTCCTCTCAATTTCGTAAACAACAATAATGCCACGAGAAGTCATTGAGTAGGACTTCCCTAGCAGAGGCTATATACGCGTGACCATGTGAGAGCATTTCGAGAGAGAGAGAGAGCGGACTCTCCCCAATCTGAGCCGTACCAGGGCATTTTGGTGCTTTGTCTTATTGTCAAATATATAAACTTTGTCATATGATACCCTGAAATCGTTAGTTTCTTGTTTTACATTTTATTCTAAAGAAGAATGATATTATTAAAAAATATAGATGTATGTGAACTCGATAGAAATTTGAAGAAACAAACACCATATTACACAAGTTAGTGGCCATCTGAATTACGAGATGGTGTTTTAAGCGAATGGTACTAGGTTCGATTCCCAGAGTGAACATCAACTCTAAGATACTGGTGCATCTAGCTGACAAGTCCCTAAACGGAGCGAAACAAGCTTCCTAGTTTCCATTTCTAGGCACTATCCACCATTGCTTATAAAGTTTGTGATTTAAAGTTAAATGAAGGCAATACGCACAGGATGCACATACGCCAACATGAGACTGATCAATTACAGTCCTAAACATCAATGGGAAGATTCAAACAAGCAATACAAAAATGAATTAAAACTTTGTCAAATATTAACTCTAAACTGAGTTGGATCATGAGTTATGAAGGCAGACTGATGTGTATAACCTAGTGATTAAGTCTCCATTTTCCTTATCAATCATAAAACGATCCATAATCTGTTTATTTTGCATTTGTTTTATAATAAAGTGAAGCTCCTGAGTTTCGCTAGTCTGAATCTTATTGAAGCGACTACCTTTATTACGACACATAGTTTAAGATGTAAAATATCCAACTTCAATATCTCAAAAGATCAACTTCATGACTTTAGTTTATTGAGTCTATAGCAACAAATTATCAACTATTTTGTATTGTAAATTCCCTTGGTGTTGTTTCGCTTGTTATTTAAAAATGCAATTGATCAGTATCTTATTGGCATATGTGAATCCTGTGCGGACTTCCTCCATATTGTCTTAGGTCATAAGTTATATAAGCAAATATGGATACTGGTTAACAGTGGAATCCAGGATGCGCAGTTCCTCCTATTTGTATTGTGGGTTAGAGAATACTGGTCAGTGGCTTATTCTCTATTTGGAGTAACAGGTGGAAGTAAGTAAGTAATTGTTCAATCTGAATGAAGTACATTCAGTTATAAAGCTTCATTTGTTAACATTATACTAGTAAACTTACAGTAAACTAATAATTGTGTTTCACTTTCTCTACGATAAACAAATGGTTCATTATTCTTTAATTTAATTGTATTTTCAGCTGCACATACATAAATACCAGCATCATCTATTGTAACTGAATTAATTTGAAGCATTGGACTTAACCAATGTAATCTATCTTTACTTCTATTATAATTAGATGAATATTTAGTTACACTATTCATCGTTCTAAATAGATCATTATGGTTAACATATTTTGACTTGATCAAATTGGATGAGATCTTGTTCGATTTACGATACCAAAAGACATTCATTGGTGGTGGATTAGAGATAGCATCACATGATAAACGAACTGATTCACTATGACGTGTATAGACAACACCAGTTGTTTTAATTATCGGAGCAACTAAAAAATAGTAAAACGGTAAAAAATAATCACTAAAGAGTGTCAGCGAAGTCTTTAAATAATGAAACATACTTAACGTAATAGGGCTCAGACAAGTGAGTCTATAATTCATCGACGATCTTTGAGCAATGCCAAAGTGACCTTCACAATGAATACCTACTGATTAGGACTAAATGGCGGTTGTTAACCAGTTAGAATTATGATTTATAGTTGATGGTTAAAGTTGGAACTTACATTTAGGGTTTTCATCACGAACTGATATCAGCTTTAATACCAAAACTTTATTTAGTCAAATGTATGGATGAATTTTATGACTCCTTATTTTATATCTGATTGGTTCGTCCATAAATTATAGTCACGCCATTAAACATCTTCCAGGTTTTCAATGGTGGTCTAGCTTCAACTGACTCATGATTTCAAAAAACTGTGAAAAATCTAATTTATACTTTGATTATATATGACATATTACAAACAAATATGGATTATGCTATTAGCCTCTTTGCAGTGTATAAGTAGTTAATCCCTATAAGTTATAAGAAAATTGTTATTTCAAAAGATCCTTTCTTCGTTAATTCCACAACGTTTTATATACTTTCTTTAACCTACAATAAACTTGACAGTTTACTATCCTTCTTCCTTCTTCTTCTGGTGGTCGACTGGATTTCTAAGACCTCCATATCTGAGAGAAAGCATGGAATACACTGGGCAGTTCGGAGTCACTCAGAAGATTTTGACTTTTCAGATGAACTGACTCTTCTATCCCGTGCACGCGAACAAGTGGAGATAAAGAAAACTAGTGTAGCAGAAGCCTCTGAATCATTAGGCCTCAATATACGCAAAGGAAAAGCAAACTCCTCAAATACAATACGGAGAACACCAACTCAGTCACACTTGATGGAGAAACTCTGGAATAGGTGGAAACATTCATATACCTGGTCAGTATCATCAATGAACAAGGCAGATTTGATGAATATGTAAAAGCGAGGATTGTCAAAGCAAAGGCCGTATTCCTACAATTGAAGAATGTATGGAACTCAAAACAACTGTCAACTAATATCAAAGTCACAATCTTCACTACTAACATCAAGACAGTTACACCATGCGAAGCTGGAACTTGAAGAACTACCGCAACGATTATCAAAAATGTACAAAAGATACTCAATATCGTTGACCGGATATCATCAACAACAATCTACTGTGAAAGAGAATAAAACATCTTCAAATGAAGAGGGAATTAGGAAAAGACGTTAAAAGTGGATAGGACATACATTACAAAATTCACCAAACTGCATCATGAGGCAAGTTCTAACATGGAGTCTTAAATGGAAACGGAAAAGAAGAAGGCCAAATAACATGAAAAAGATGAATAGCAATTGAAAAGAGCTAGTCAATCAGAAGTGTTCGAGGGATTTCAAGGTTACGGCACCAAATTCAGTGCTTAATGCTAACGGAGGATCGGTTCACAGGAGTTTTTATACAAAACGTGTTAGTTGAGCGGCAATAACAAATAAAACGGTGAGACTATAATTTGTGGACAAATCAATCAGGTATAAGATAACAGATTTCGGATTTTGGCACGAAAACCTTTCATCCATTTAGCTAAATAAATTTCTGGCATTATAGATGATGTCAGTTCGTGATGAAAACCCTATATATAATTCCTAACTAAGGCAAATTACGACAACTATCCCGAACTGGATAATAAAAGCACTAGTAACGCTGGCTGCAGTCAGGTTCTACCATATATTCGGATGTTTGGAGAGCGTACAGACTCCTACATAGTCTTGGTTATGTGCATCGTGTCGTTATCCACAAGTAGAATTTTGTGCACTCAACAAGTGGAGTGCACATAAACAATGTTGAAGCCATGTGGTCGAGGCTGAAAGAGTATTTGAGACTTTATCATGACTCCAGAGGTTGACTATTCTGTAGCCGTATGGATGATTTCCTCTACTGCATGCATAACCTCTGAAACTTATTCTAACCTTGACAAGTTTTCGAACCACGTGTAAAAATTGTATCCACTTTATTTCCTTGGTTTTGTATAACAACTTTTTACTCTATACTGAGTGTTTGTTGACTGGCTAATATTTCTCAAGTTCACTTAAGATTCGTTCAAAGGTCGTCCATAAATGAGTCTTACGGCGAGACTCTAATTTAGGGACGAGCCAATCAGAAGCGTTTGAGCAATTTCAAAGTCACGGAGCCAAGTTAAACACGCGATGCTAACATACGATCGGTTCACAGCGGATTTTAGAGAGGAGGTGATTAATGAGAGGTTACAACAGATGGGACGGCGAGACTCTAATTTAGGGACGAGCCAATCAGAAGCGTTTGAGCAATTTCAGTTATTAGCCAATCAGAAGACAGAATAAAGTAAAAATATATTAAAAGAAAGTACTGAATTACAGTGGATATTCTTCTTTTACATGATTTAAAAACTCGTATGTTAGCATTCTGACCCTAACCTTAACCCTAAACCCTAACCCTCACCTAACCCTAACCCTAAACCTTAACCCTCAACTAACCCTAACCCTAAACCCTAAACACTAACCTTAACCCTAACCCTAACCGTATGTTAGCACCCTCATCCTAACCCTAAACCCTAACCTTACCCGTAAACCTAACCCTAACCCAATGGACGAGTTTCTATTCCATATGCATTGTGAATTCAGAACCTTTGAACCTTAATCAAACCTTAACAAGTTTTTAAATCATGTAAAAGGAGAATATATATATTTTCACTTTATACTAACTTTCTTCTGATTAGCTAATAATTGTCAAGGTCACTTAAGATTCGTTCAGAGGTCGTCTTTAAATTAGAGTCTCGCCAGTCTCACCATTGAAAAGAACTGGAAATGATCGTTTAAGACAGAGTTGAATGGAGAGTATTGGTAAGTGGCTTATGCACTTCGACGAGGTGTAATAAATGTAATTAAACCTAACCATCTTTAAAATGTATTTCAATACAATTAATATATATTTAACTTACAATAAAATTCAATTTTTAATGACTTTTCTATACTTCCCATAATATTTTCCGCTGTACATGTAACATTTATTGTCCAATTATCTTTGGTAAATTTACTCAATTCATCTTTTATCAGAATTTTATTGAATACAGCTGAATTTAATTGTTCTGTTTCTTCCAATAGAATAATAATCATAATAATAAAAGAATGATATTCATATGTTATTTATATTTGTTATATGTGTGCAAATGAAATACAAATGGTTTTAGATTGTGTTTTTTAATTAAGATAAAAATGAATGAAAACATATACTAGTGGTTAGACGCTCACACACGAGACTGATAAGTCCTGGATTTGAATCATGCGAGACGAGGTCGTGGATGCGCACTGCCGGTGAGGAGTCCCACAGTAGGACGAAACAGTCGTTCAGTGCTTCCAGGTTTTCCATGGTGGTCCAGCTTCAATTGGCTCATGATCTTAACTATTAAAATTACTATAATATCTATAAAACCCCTTCTGATATTAATCAACATATGCTCAAGAGTGACTAGTTTCAAGAGGTATTTCCTGGAGTTCCAGTCAGAAGCAGTGACTAGTGAAGTTCAATCAGTTCTGTTGTGAGATAGTAACTCACAGAAGATAATGGATGTGTTTTGCCCTATTTCGTGGATTGGTTGGAGTTACACATTTACAAACTTGGGTACCGGCTCAATGGTCTAGTGGTTAAGCGTTACCATTTAAATATGACAATTTTCCCAAATTACAAAGCGAAACACAGAAACAAAGAATATAACCAGGCATAATTCATATAGCAACAATGATAAATTGTTAAGTGATTTTATTAAATGAAAATAACTTCCCCCCCAAGTATATTGACCAAAGAAGATTTACAGATTTGAAATTATTGCCTCAATCTAAGGTGGCCTGCTTGAATATCTGGACTACCTGTTTCTTCCATCTAGATATTTAAACAAATTATCTGTTTTTTGTTTGTTTCAACAGATTATTATGGTAATTAACTGCATAACCTATTCAGGTGTGTTTATTGAAATGTTTACGATATTTCGCTGTACAAAAGAGCCCAATCAGAGATATCGTGATGACTGGCAATATGCATCGAAAAGAAAATATACATTAATCAGATGTCGATTGATTGGACTGTTAACATCTAACTGACGACCGCTCAATGTGTTATCGTCAGGATCGATCAAGAAATAAGAAACGAAAACTCGCTGAAATACTTTATGTTGAGAATTCTAATATTGTATCAAAATTATGATATTGATTAAAGCTAATATGATGAATGAATCATGAAACTAAGAGCATATACCGAAACTTCCGGTATATAATTTGTATGATTACTAAACTTTATGAAAACGTTACGCAATATACAACGATGTCAATTAGGATATATAAGATACACTTTTTTTGAATAGTTGCCAAGTTTTCCATGGTAGTTTAGCTTTGATCAACTCATGAATTCAACTATTAAATTACTATAATATCCACAAAACCCCTATCTGATTGTAATTATCATGTGCTTACTAGTGACTGTCTCCAAGAGGTAGTTCCCAGATTTCTAATGAGAAGCTGTGACCAATGAAGTTTGAACGTTCAACCCTAGATTTTCTATAAACAAACGAACGTTGAAATAAAGTTCTTCATCAATATTTCTGACTTTTTCTCTCATATTCAAGTCACTGTGTAGATTTAGCCTGAGGGATACTAGAAGAGTTTAGGCAACCTAATCTAACATTCAACTAGATGACTTATCAAATAAAATAGCTAATTTTGTCAAAGTTATACGTCACAATGATTGACTTAAAGACGTTGGACTACTTTCACATCACTTTTTCAAATAACTTGCAATTCTTTATATGAAATCAGTGAATACAAATCGACAATACCAAGTACATTTCAATCTGACGTCACTATATCTTATATACAGCTGCATAATAGAAAACTTAAGTATATATATTGCAGATTTATTACATAATTTTGATTACATACTTGATATTATTTGACCGTGTTGATCTATCCAGTATATAGATGGTGTAGGATTTCCTATAGCATGACAAACAATAGTACTTGGTTCTTCGTATAGAACAATCCAAGGTTCGTTGGAAAACTGTAAAATTACTGGAGCATCTGAAATTATATTAGTAAATAATAGAGAAGCGTTAATATATTACTGAACATTTAAAGTATAACGAAGGTTTGTGTTATATCCGGACGAGAGATAAATTCATGGTAACCGCCAGGAATTACTTATGGACCGTCATGATATAAATATTGTCTATGTACGACTATTATATTATAGGTATATTCATATTCCTTCTATTTATAAGCTTCCATTTGAACTATTGACTACTATTATACGAGTTACTATCCATAAGTTATTCCCAATCTATTAGTTACAGTCTCTCATAATCACAGCCACTTTTGGGTTTGATCTTTTACAAATGTTATATTCTGTAATATGGTATGATGTGGTATGGTTTGTTTGTATATAAACCCAGTATGTCTAAAATGTATGATTTGTACAGCGGGGGTTGATATTGGTGTTCTGGACTCAATTAGCTGGGTTAGGTGAGTATCTGGACCGCCCATACTCTTTTATGTGTCACTGAATCGGTCAGTAAGTCAGTGTTCTAATTGGTGATCGTATCACATGATATATTAACCACGATGTGAGGACATAACAGTTTGTATTTCAATTTTAACAATTTTTGTTTTATACTTACCTCTTAGAAAACGATGACGGTGTACCAAAATATTTCTGACTATTGGGAAACATATGATACAGTATATGAAATGTAAACGAAGCGATCACGTTATATATAGCATTTTACAATGGATTCTCTATAATTAATTTCAAATATTCATCTGTTACCATGACATTCGTGTGATAACAATACTGAAATTAGCATATTACTTCGGTGTTTGTAGTATTAACTAATATGGTCAGATAGATGACGTTCATTTAAACCATATTGTCCTGAATTACTGAGTAACTAATTCAAATGAATTTTGTGCGTTTCAATCTCGGAATGAACATAAACTTAGAATCTAGATACTTACAGATGAAAAGTTCACAAATCGCGATTTTCGGATTATTTTGCTAGCCACGTCTCAAATTAAGATATTGCTTGGAGGTAGTCGATAGGAAACCTTCGACTTTGGTTCCGTGCTACTTGGCACTCTTTAACAAAATGTACTTGTAATCTTGAGCGAACTGATGCTAACTGACAAATTTGACCCAAAGTCACCCACCTTTACTGTCAGAGATGGTACCACTGGGCTATCCGGGACGCGACTAACATTTTGCAGGATTGAGATGTAATTACAAAAATGATTAGCAACTAGGTGGTGATCAATCAGACTATTATACTTTAAACTACAAGTTACAATTCGTTGATTTTGTATCAGTTATATGACTGTTTGATGTCATCTTTCCAATTGTTTATTCAGAGTTCAAATATGTTCGTCTTGATTAACTTTTAAATCTGTTAGATCTTCATGTCAGATGAAGAAAGAAAATACGGATTAGATTAATCAAAAATTAAAAAAATCACCGTAATTCACTAAAGTCTATGTTCACAATCAAAGACAATATAAGTCGTTACGTAGTTTTAGTGATATACCTTTTTTTCCCATATTATTTCTTAAGTTTAAGTGGTTTGAATAAGTTTCTCTGGTTAGCATATTTTTAACGAGTTAGTTTTTTACGGGATGGGGTCGCTAACCCCATGCCCAAACCTCCTCCTTTATCCGGGCTTTGGACCGGCAGTGGCCCTAGAGGGGCCCCAGGCGCAAGAAGAAATTAGAAAGAAGCACTAGAAGTGGATAGGGCACACATTGAGGAAAGCACCCAACTGCGTCATAAGACAAGCCCTAATCACATGGAATCCTCAAGGCCAAAGGAGAAGAGGAAGACCAAAGAACACAATACGTTGAGAAATAGAGACATACATGAGAAAAATGAACTAAAATTATTTAGAACTGGAAAGGAAGACCCAGGACGGAGTGAGTTGGAGAATTGTGGCCGGTGGCCCATGCATGCTCCATTGTGAGTAACAGGAGTACTTAAGTAGGTCGGTAAGTAAGTATTTCTTAGGTTCATTGACGATAAAAACAAAACAAACTGGGTTACATGGAAGGATAGCATCATTGTCACTTGTAAAATACAGGAGAAGTAGTAGTGTAGTAGTAGTAGTAGTAGTAGTAGTAGTAGTAGTAGTAGTGGTAGTAGTAGTGGTAGTAGTAGTAGTAGTAGTAGTAGTAGTAGTAGTAGTAGTAGTAGTAGTAGTAGTAGTAGTAGTAGTAGTAGTAGTAGTAGTAGTAGTAGTAGTGGTAGTAGTAGTAGTAGTAGTAGTAGTAGTAGTAGTAGTAGTAGTAGTGGTAGTAGTAGTAGTAGTAGTAGTAGTAGTAGTAGTAGTAGTAGTAGTAGTAGTAGTAGTAGTAGTAGTAGTAGTAGTAGTAGTAGTAGTAGTAGTGGTAGTAGTAGTAGTAGTAGTAGTGGAATTAATTTGTATCAAATATGCTAAGCAATAATCAATTCTTATTAGTTTCATTATACTGGAATGCTGAATAACATACATAACGTAGATTATATTGACGTTTACATGTAAAGTGCTAAAAATGTTATTAACCGTTTAGGTATGCAATTTGATTGCGTAGCAAAAAAAACAATCTCTTTACTGACTTTTTGTTCTACCTGTCATAGTTACATCTACATAAGATGGAATAACGATTTTTTTCGTTGGAAATATACGAGAATTTGTCAATTATATTCAATTCAAGCCCTAACTTGGAATCCTGAAGTGGAGAAGGAAAAAGGAAGGCCAAAGTACACATTATGTCGCAAAATAGAAACAGAGATGAAAACGATGAATTACGACTGAAAAGAGCTGGAAAAGATTGCTGAGGACAGGGTTGGATAGAGAGTGCTAGTGAGCGACCTATGCTCCTTCACGAGGAGTAACAGGTGTAAGTAAGTAAATGAGTAATTCAATATTGTATATGAATTACTTATGAAGAAGTTTTTAAAAATGATCATCCTACGATGTATTCTATTAATCAAGATTTGAAATATTTGCGATTTGTATTCTGCACACATTCTATGCCTACTGTCTATCTTCCCTTAGACTATGAGGCTAAAATCGTTTCATATCATTCTTTCTACGAACTAATTCTTTCTTTCTGTCCTATATCCTTACATAAAATGTTCTCTTTATATATTATATCATTGAGTTAACTGCTTCTATGAATCCAGTGTTCGTTTTGCTGTGCTAATGAGGTATGACAACTTGAACCGATGTATATATGTGCCTGGTCGTACGTTATAACTGACTTACTGACGGGCTGCACATATTCTGAAAAGTATGTTTTCCATGGTTGACCTTAGTAGTTTTCATGAACATTAACTTCGCCTGTAGTCCCTCTGAGGGCTACTGCCGGTCCCAAGCCCGGGTAAAGGAGGAGGGTTGGGCATGAGGTTAGCGACCTTATCCGTAGAAAAGTAACTTGCTAAAAAACGCTAACCAAAAAAAAATTATTCAAACCTTAGTTCTTTAATAGGTTCATAGTTTCTGTAATGAAGAAACAAAATGAATTGTAAAACTTACATCTTACAGAGATTTTATATGGTTCTGATATACTTGCACCTATTCTATTCACAGCTTTACATATAATTCGCATACCATCATGTGACCGGTATACCTTCAGTCGAAAATGACTGGATGTATTTCCATAAGGAGTATTTGTTGGAAAATACACTGATGATCTTGTGTTCTACAATGAAAATGGGAAAAGATTCAAATGATCGACTTGCAAATAATCCACTAGTAGTGAAACATTCATTATTGTTATACTAAACTGGATACGTTGATATTGCCAATGTTTACACCACGGACTGAATTAAAGTGGACAAACAGTGAATGTCAGGAAGTACTGGAGAGATTACTCGTCTTAGTGTGGTACTCTTTTAAGATATGCTTCCTCAACCTCACCGAGAATCGAATTCTAGATCGTTGACGAGCACCCAATATTAAACTATTAGGCTGGAGTCCAGTGGTTAATATAAATGACTAGTCAATCCACGGTACTGCAAAACAACCTTTCATTGCCTACTATAGATTATTGTTTCCAACACAAAATTATTGAAACCCACCGATTACGACTACTCACCAATATCCAAAAAATTCCAGTGCGCGAGTGACGCAATTTCGTGGATTGTCTGAAGTTAGATATTAACACCATTAGACGCCGGCTCAGTGGTCTAGAGGTTAAGCGATCGCGCAAGTGGGATCGTGGATGCACATTGCTGAGTAGTCCCATAATAGGATGAAACGGCCATCCATTACATGGTGGTCTAGCTTTAATCGACTCATGTATTCAACTATTAAAATTACTATAATGTCCACAAAATCACCCTGTGATTATAAATTCAATTCAGCTTAATTAATAGAACTACCAAACGTTTTACGATATTCAAAATTTACCGTGTCTTTCTATCTTTGATTATCAGTAAACTTAATCTATTACTGACTGAATATTGATAACATCAAATGAAATGAGGCTGAAATAAATTTTCATACAGAGATACAGAATGATAGGTAAGACTATAATTTATGGATGAGTTAATCAGATCTAAGGAAACAGATCTTGGATTTTAGCTCAAAATTCATTCATTCACTTGTCTAAATAGAGTTTTGGTACTTTAACTAATGTCAGTTCATGACGAAAACTATAAATCTAATTCCTTACCATAACTATCGACTATTATTCATAATTCTAAATTCTCACACTGGTTTGTAACTCTCATTTAGCTCTAATAAGTAGACGAATATTCTTAAAGTTACTAAGGCGTCACTCAATAGACGTCGCTAAAGTATAGTGTTACCGAGTTATATTAAAATTTTACAGGTTTATCAAGGTGGAAATATAAATGAATCTGGTGAAAAGATGACGATCAACAAAATTATGATAAAATTTTTGTTTGACTGTAAACATCTCAAAACGCAAAGAAAAATGTTATTGATGTATTTGGTATTGTCTACTTGTATCGTTCTATTGTTGTTTAGGATTGCAATTGATCAGTATGTTATTGGTATATGTGCATACTGTGAGGATTGCCTAAATATTGCCTTAATTCACAAGCATTCTATGCAAAGATGGATAGAGGCTAGCAGTGGGACCAAAGATGCACGTTTCGTCCTATTTGGGACTGGTCAGCTGGATGTACCTGCATCCCAGGGTTGATGTACAGCTTGAGACTCAGTAGCTGAGTTGACAATGCGATGTAGTTTGAAGCGCACGGTGATGGGCTCGAACCCCAGAGTAAACATCAACTCTGGGATGCTGGTACGCCTATCTGACGAGTCCAAAATAGGATGAAACGCGTATCTTGGCTTCCACTGCTAGCATCTATCCATCTTTGCTTATAATATTATTGATTGTTGAAAAGTAAATTACATGTAAATAGGTTACTTACTTCAATTGTCTTCAATGAGTCTTTTATATTGAAATTTATATCATGTAATGTATCCAATTTCATTGAAGTTATAGTTGTATTTTGTATTGGAAGAAATGACCAAAATATTTGAGGTGAAGGTAATCCTTTTTCACTTTGACATAATAAATTAAGGTATTCACCTTCAATAAAATACGGTTCTTTATTTGATTCTTTACTTAATTCATATAGTTTTTCATCAGTCATCTGTATGTTAACTGTAATAGAAGGTTTAGCCGGAGGAGCTAAAAATGTCAAATGTCAACAAATGTGATTATCTTCTTGAAAAAATTACTAGAGACTTGTAAAAAATGAAGTTTTTTCACTCATATTTACCAGACAAATTCATTTGGTATTGTTTGTTTGAATCATCCCATTGAGGTTTAAGACAGAAATTGATCAGTCTCTTATTGGCATATGTGCATACCGTGCGTATGCCTTGATATTGCCTTAATTCACAAGCTTTTTGTAAGCAAGGATGGATAGTGGCTAGCAGCGGAACCCAGGACGCGCTTTTCGTCCTGTTTGGGTCTCGTCAGCTGGATGTACCTGCATCTCAGTGTTGATGTTCACTCCGGCACTCGAACTCACTACCGTTTGCTTCAAACGCCATCGCGTTATCCACTTAGCTACTAAGTTCAGATAGCCACTTGCTTGTGCAATATGGGTGAGGTTTAATTCACTTGGTATTGTTTTACTTGAATCTTCTCATTGATGTTTAGGACTGAAATTGATCGGTCTCTTATTGGCATATGTGCATACTGTGCGTATTGCCTCGATATTGCCTTAATTCACAAGCATTCTAAGCAAAGATAGATAGTGACTAACAGTGGAATCCAGGAGTCTCGTTCAGTTTAGGTACTTGTCAGCTGGATGTACCTGCATCGCAGAGTTGATGTTCACTCTTGGGCTCGACCTCAATACCGTTCACTTCAAACGCCCTCGCGTTATCCGTCTTTGCATATTATGCTTGTGAATTACGGCAATAATGAGGCACTACCAATAGTATGCACATATGCCAATAACAAACTGATCAATTGCAGTCCCAAACATCAATAGGAAGATTCAAACAAACAAGATCAAGTGAATTTAAACTTCACCTTATTGCATAAGGAGTTGGCTATCAGGACCCAGCAGCCAAATAGATAACTCGGTCGCGCTTGAAGCGAAAGGTTATGGATTCGAATCCTAGAGTGAACGTCAACTCTGAAATCCAAGTACATCCATCTGACGAGTTCCAAACAAAACGGAATGCGTGTCCTGGACTCCACTACTAGCCACTATCCGTCTTTATATGTTTACCAGCATTTAAATATTACCCCTTGGTAGTTTGGGATGAGATTCTGTAACATTTCAAAACTGATTATTGTGATTGTTATTTTATTTCTTATGCTTGTTAATTCTTGTGACGAATAGGGGACCGGCCAGAAATCTCCAACATTCTCTCTCTCCGTCGGTCTTTTCCATCTCGAGTTTCATTCGTTTATTCTTGATGTCTACCTTAAATGTTCAGGACAGGGTGTGATTTGGTTTGCCTCTTTTCCTTCTGACTTCAGAATGTCGAGCTTAGACGTGCTTTTTTATTGTAGTCTGATGATTTCCTCATCGTATGTCTCATCCAACTCAAGTGGATTTTACTAATCTCTTAATTATTTGAAAGCCGATTCGTTCTCTCACACATTAAGTTGTTGCTGATGGTGTCTGACCAACGGATGTTTAGTATCGTGTCTAGAAAACTGTCTATAAGTACCTGTACATTTTTGCTGATGGTTGTGGTAGTTCTCGAAGTTTTAGTTCAGAACTATATTTACGTTTGTATTGAAAATACTGACTTTGATGTTGACTGACAGACAGTTGTTTTGAGTGCCATAAGACTCTTCGGTTGTAGGAATGCTGCTGTTGCATTGGTAATAAGTTCGTTCATATTTACATCAAATCCTCCTTGTTTTTCAACGATTTTGACCAGGTGCGTGAAAGTTTTTACACATCTTCTAGAACTTCTCTATCAAATGTGGTTGGGTTGGTGTTTTCCATGTTGCATTTAGGGACCATGCTTTTTCCTTTGTGTATCTTGAGGTCTATTTCAACAGAGGCTGCTGCCACACTGTCTGATTTCAGCTATATTTGTTGTTGTGTATTGGTTAGAAAAGCTAAGTCATCTGTAAAGATCAAATTATCTATCTGATTTCAAGTTGTCCTCTGAGATGTGTTTTTGACCTTGTCAATATCGGGAACGAAAGTTGCATCAAACTTTCGTAATACCGTTTGTTCAGCCACTTAATGCATATTTCTTTTTGAACAAGCTGATTACCATTAGTAATAGAATGGTAAATACAAATAGCTTAGCCCAGATATTAGTTATTTATTGATTATTTGATCGGGTGCACACATGTATACCTACCTTAAAGTTACACTGCGTTTGTAACAGGATTGTTTGATCAATAAGTTACCTAAACTGTTGAAAGAATCAAACGTCTAACAAAGTTGAAGACAGCGATTGAGACAATACTACTTAGAAATAAAAATAAACCCAATTTCATTTCCACGTTTGTTCTCATTTAAGGTAGAAACAAAGGTATTTCGTTTAGGTTTATTGTTCATTTATATGATGTCTATTGTTTGTTTTAAAACGTATCTACTTTTAAAGAAATAGTAAAATTATTTATGAAACGAGCTTCTGAACTTTTGTCATAATAGCTCAGAAAGCCCTGATAAGGACGAGGCTGGGGAAATTTATCTCTCCCTCTCCAAATTCTCTCACATGACCACGAGTATACAGCCACTCCAATGGAAGTCCTACCCACTGCCTTCTCGCAACACGAGTGTCATTTACGAAATTGAGAGGAGGAAAAGTGAATGTCTGGCCGTTTAATCGGGTCGGTGGACACGAAGAGTCCACATAGGGGAGTTGCAAGACCCTGATTACAAACCATTGGTGCACAAGGGCTCTAGGATCCTGAAGGAAAAAATGGTGAAAGGATGAAACGTTGGTAACCATCTATCAAAGGACTGCATCTCCTGACGTTGTTCCACTGCCATGTGAATAAGACACTTTGGTCCAAGGCTTCGGGTGTGGCTCCCCCAAGAAAGCCACCTAATTCGGTCTGAGCACTCGGGAAGTATCATAGTCCACCTACAAAACAAGTGATTTGTGTGACGCATATATATTCGGTGCTCCTTTGTACTAATATTTATATGTTCAAAGGATTGTTTATACAGTTTATCAATATGAATACTATGGCAAAACCTATGAAAAACATCTTAGATATATCAATTAGTTTTTGTTCATTATTTTATCATTGACTTACTTGAACAATTAAATATCTATTCATTGTTACTGTATTAACACCAGCTAACATTGCACATTGATAATTACCACTATGATATGATTGAACATTAATTATTGTTAAAATTCCATTTGAATGTACTTGTATATCAATCAAATGAATTTGTTCTCTAATTATAAATGGAAAGAAAAAGAAAAGATCGTTTAAAGAAATGTAAAGATTAAGTCTTCATATAGAATGTTTAATTACTGAATTTCAATGTAAGAAGATTTATTCATGCAATTACGAATGAATAACTTCAATAGATCATGGTATATCCAACACTATAGTGTGTATTACTGATATTGATAGATATAAGTAGTATGTATCACTGATCGAAAGTGAAATACCCGGTGATAAAAGGTTAAAAAGATCAAAGAAAAGAGAATAATTGGCGTGGAAAAGTAAGAACAATGAAGCCTGAGGCAACTGATTGACATTTCGCAAATGAAGTATTTACTGTATGATTCTCAGATTTTACTAAGACATTCTGTAATGTTGCATAGAAATATATTTGGTTGTTTTCACTTGTTCTTTCGTTCACCACAGTAGCAGGTATCAGGATATGGCATATTGGAACTTTTCAATAAGTGACATAATTATATGATTTTCTAAATCAGATTTCATAAACAGCGTAAAATGTGTCTTGAATACAACTCTTGTCGTTACCTTATTGAAAGTGGAATACAGATGGACAAATATTTCATTTATCAACTAAATTTATAATTCTGATCCCATATTCACAACAAAACTATTTTTGTTTCCAACTTAAATAAAAGATCATATAATTTATCGATTTATCGAAAAAAGGAAGTCGGAAGAACACACTTCATCGGGAATCGGAAGCAGATATGAAAAGGATGAATAGCAACTGGAAAGGATTTCCCAGAACAGTGTTGGATGGAGAATGCTTTTGGGCGGCCTATGATCCTTCACGAAGGGTAACAGGCGTAAGTAAGTAACTAATTCACTTATCCCAATTTGAGATCTGTACTGATAAGTAACATATGCGCCACAAAAGTCACTTGATTTGTATGTGCGTTATGATAATACCTGGAGCCTTCGACCTAATGGTAGAAACCACAAGACAGTGGAGCGACGTCAGGAGATGCGGTCCCATGGTAGACGGTGATCAACAGTTCGTACATACGCCTTCTTTTCCCTCAGGATTCTTGTAACCGATGTTCATGATTGCTTTACAATGAGCGTTTTTCCAACTGTCCTAGGTGGACTCTTGGTGTCTAACAACTCAGATAAAGCACTGAACATTTGCTTTTCATCTTCTGAATTTCGTACATGACACCCGTGTTGAAAGAAGACTTCCATGCGAGTAGCTGTATACGCGTGAAATTAGAAGAAAGTAAAATCAATTGACTACTGACTATGAAAAATTAGAAGAAATTTTAGGTCTAAAATGAGATAAGAATATACGCGTGCTTCTATCAGGCTTGAATCCCTAATATACCGAAGCATTTGACAGTATAAAGTTGTGGTGATTATTACGTTTTTGAGTGAGATCATCAAGTGATTGATGATAGACCATCATTGAAAACCTGGAAGCACTAGACGGTCGTTCCATCCTATTGTGGGACTCCTCAGTGGCAGTGCGCATCCACCATCCCACTAGAGGGGTTCGAACTCAGGATTTATCAGTCTCGCGCCAGGCGCTTAACAAACTAGACCACTGAGCTGGCCGGCATCCAACGGTGTTAATGTCTAACATCAACTAATCCACGAAATTGAGCGACACATCCGCCATTGTCATCAGTCAGTTACCACCCCACTTCTGACCCGGTTGAACTCCACTGGTCACTGTTTCGCACTAGAACTTCATGAAATTACTCTTGAAACCAGTCACTAGTGAACACATGTTGATTAGTATCAGAAAGGGTTTTGTGGAGATTGTAGTAATTTCAACATTTGAGATCATCAGTCAATTGAAGCTAGATCACTATGGAAAAACTGGAAGCAATTGTCATTATTCAATAACAAATATATCTATAGTATGAAGTGGTATTCATTCATCACTAAAAAATAGTATTCTATCATAATACTGTATACTTTATTGTATATCTTAATAGATCGAATATCTATCCACACTTTCACTTAGAAACAAAAAACATCATAGTTTCTATACTGAATATGAATCTTTAAAAAATCTACTTCATCAAATTGAATAATTTATTCATTAAGCAAAAAAATAATAAGGGAATTATTCAAACATAATTCATTTCCTACTTTAGAATTAATAAAATTAATTTGTCTCGATTCAAATAAAACTTTGATATGATAAATAGAAAGCCAATGAATCAGTAAAGTGAAGTGAAGTGGAGTGGGATGTAGTAGAGTAGAGTGGATTGTAGTGGAGTAGAGTGGGGTGGAGTGGAGTGGGTTAGAGTGAAGTGGAGTGTATATATTTGGATAACGTTCTGAAATAAATGAAATGCAATATATATATATGTATACTGAGATGTAAAAAGTGACAATCCAAAGTTTTATTTCGTATTGCGATACAAAATAGAACATTCTAAATATATTCACTTGATAGTGTTTATTTGGATCATTCTATTGATGTTTAAGACTGTAATTAATCAGTTGACGAGTTTCAAATCGGACGAAACGCGTGTCATGGATTCCATTGTCAGTCACTGTACATTTTTGCTTAGCAGGCTTGGGAATTAAGGCAATAGCGAAGTAATACGCACAGTATACACATATATCAATAAGAAATTGATCGATTGCAGTTTTGAACATCAATGGAAACATACAAGCAAATAACACCGAATGAATTTATCTAGTTTGGGTTTTTAATCAATACCAAGTTCCTAGTTCTTGCTTTAATCAAATTTAACAATGAGACAAAGGACTGTATAAGACCAATTAATTTTTGTATTGGTTGTTTGAATCTTCCTATTGATGTTTAGGACTACAATTGATCAGTCTCTTATTGAAATATTTGCATCCCGTGCGAGTCGCCTCGATATTACTTTAATTCACAAGCATTCTAAACAAAGATGAATGGTGGCTAGCAGTGGAACCCAGGACGCTCGATTCGTTCTGTTTAGGACTATTTAGCTGTTTGTACCTGTTCATTTCAAACGCCATCGTGTTATCCGCTTAGCTACTGAGTCCTAATAGCTAAGTGGATAAGGTGATGAAGTTTGAAGCAAAAGATACTTAGTTCGAGCCCTAGAGTACTATCGTTCAGCGTTTTCGTAAATTATTTTATCTGCTACCTTAAAGACTATACTTTCTTCTTAGAAATTTTGTTTTAATTTGAAAGCATTTTCAAAAATACTTTATACTTATCCTACATATGAACTCAAATAAATGAATAGATTCATGTTCAAATGTTTAACTTCGCTTTTGTCCAAAGTTCTCTGTGTTTTCGCCACTTCAGTAGCCTTTGGACACTACTAAATCGTTAAACTGATTTAAAAACCAAAGCATTTTAAGCTTTTCATTGGATACTATAATAACAAATTAATCCAACCATCTATCCACAAATTTTAACAACATGAGGGTAATGATGGAGATTGTACGATTTTCGTAGATTTAATCACTATCTTATATTGGCTAGACTATGGTTAATGATCAGCAGGCACTGAATCTGTCATGTATTTTCATGTTTGAGACTCTTCAGTAATGAGTTTGAATCCAGAACTTGTAGTCTTGTGCAAATCGTACACATTTTAAATAAACCATTATATTTGATAATCTGTCTTATCAGCAATTGTTGGGTCACATCTCTATCAGAACATTGGTTGCAAAAATATCTAGTTGTTTATTAAATCGCTTGATGTTAGACCACCATTTAAAACTTGGAAGCACTGAACGGCCGTTTCGTCCTATTGTGGAACTCCATAGCAGTGCGCACTTACGATACCGCCTCGTGGGATTCGAACCCAGAACCTACCGGCTAAACAATTGACTTGAACAATATAAAATAACACAAACATTCAGTTACAAATACATTCTTCTTCTTGGAATTCATTACTTTACCTTGCTTAATAATCTTCATTTTATGCATTTTGTGACATATCTGATTCATATCACGTAAGAAAATTGTATGTTTCTTTTAAAATCTACCGACCAGTGTAATTGCTTCTCACATCACTTACCTATAAACACACAATGAGTTATCACTACACACTTCATTTCACACCACAAATCTTTTACATACTACTTAAAACATTGTTAACGTTGGTTGGCTGACCTATTCAGAATTCACTTAACAGAAGAACCATGTACCTAAATCACTTAGTGTTATTTTATGTATATCTTCCTATTGTTATTTAGGACTGCAATTGATCAGTCTCATGTTGGCATATGTGCATCCTGTGTGGGTTGCCTCGATATAACCTTGATTCACAAGCTTTTTAAACAAAGATGGCGTTTAGTCCTATTTGGGACTTGTCAGCTAGATGTACCTGCATCTCAGAGTTGATGATCACTCTGGCACACGACCTCAGTACCGTTCTCTTCAAACGCCATCGCGTTATCCACTTATCTACTGAGTCCTGATAGCCACTTGCTTTTGCAATGGGGTGAAGTTTAATTCACTTAGTTTTGTTTTATTTGTATCTTTCCATTATTATTTAGGACTGTAACTGATCAGTCTCTTATTGGCATATATGCATCCTGTGCAGATTGCCTTGATATTACCTTAATTCACAAGCTTTTTAAGCAAGGATGAATAGTGGCTACAAACATCCAACTGACGAGTCCCAAATAGGACGAAACGCTCGTCAAACTGGATTCCACTGCTAGCCACTATTTTAATAATACATTTTTCCTGTTTAATGTTCCAAGTGAATTAATTTTTGATAATCTTGTTGAAGGTAGTTAATTTGATTGGTCAAATGAATAATTATCCAATCAGAAATATGGATACATTCATCAAAGTACCATTGTTTACCTTATTGACAATGAAACGTTTTTTTTTAAAATCAATAATAACTATAAATGTTTAAGTAGCATACATCTTAACTTTAGTGTATCATAAGCTGATTTCATGTACATAATCAATGTATCACAAAATGTACTAAACAAGTAAGGTCATAGACTATTCATAACCTTCTTCTAAATCAAATCCAGTAATTACAGATCTTCCTACAAACGCTAGATCCTGATACTGTAGTGAACAAGAACACCAGTGGGGACTATCGAATGTATTTCAGCGCAAAATTGCAGAGTATCTCATCAAAATCTGAGAACTATATAGTAAGTCGTTAATTTCCAAAATATCAATCCATCATAATAAACTTGACTTTTCCTGTTTTCCAAATATCAATACATTATCTCAGATTTCATTGTTCATGCATTGTCATACCGATGGCGTTCCGTTCCTGTTCTTTCTTTATCGACCTTCTACGGAAATACATTCTATGCCTGACCACCGTTAATATATTACTTGTGTAGATATAAGTAACCCACACCACAATACTACTGTACTATCATTAAAGAGTTGTTTCCCTATAATCTTTTCATCATGTTAACTACAAAATCTAATGATAAAGAATATACTTTACATAACTGACTTACTTGCATGTTACATTAGGTTTACAAACTGCTAGTTCAATAGTTTCCATAATAGTTTCATTAATAGATGAATCATTTCGATTAGATATTGATAATCCTTTGAAATGATTATCTCTCATTATAATCATTGGTGTAAAGTACCATATAATGAAATTTGTATTAAGATCTGGTATACAATGTAATGTGATTTGTTCACCTTGTGTAACTGTATGATTATAAGTAGAATATTGTGCATTTTTCATAATGTATGATGTTGATAATGAAGATTGAACTAGTTTATCAGCATCTTGAATAAATAGTTGAATAGAAAAAGTAGAAATCATGTTTAATTTTCAGTATAGGGTTATAAAGAATAATAGGTTTTTGATTAAGGTCATGAACTGATTGATGTTAGATCATCATTGAAAAGCTGGAAACACTGGATGGCCGTTTCGTTCTGGTATGGGACTCTTCAGCAGTGGGCATCCATGATCCCACTTACGGGATTCGAACCCAAGGTCTTCAGTCTCGCGTGCGAACGTTAACACGTAGACTACTGAGTCGGTACCCAACGATGTAAATATATAATTTCAACCAATCCACGAAATCGCGTGACCATCTTCCATCGTACAAAGATGGATACCAGTCTCTACTTGACACGGACTAACTCCACAGGTAACGACTTCTCACTAGAACTCCGAGAATCCCCCCCATGAAGCTAGTCACTAATATGCACACGAAACGGCCGTCCAGTGCTTCCAGGTTTTCAATAGTGGTCTAACATCAATTGGTTTATGATCTCAATCAAATGTGAACGTGAAGTATGGTGAAATCTATGGCATAAAAACATTCAATACTGCATATCGACTCAAGTAAAGAAATAGATCAGAACAAGCAGTATACTAATTGATATGTATAAGGTATTTCATTTTGTCATACAATTACAGTATTATGATTTTGCTTAAGAAACGTACTTTTTTGTGTGTTGTTGACGGCTGTCAAAAATAGACAACGTTAGAAACCGGAAAAAGTTTGTCTAGTTTAGGTCGAAGTTCTATCTGTCAAATGAGTTTTTAATGACTTGTCCTACAGTTACAGTTAAACATGATGATCCACATGGATCATCGTTGATTGATTATGATTGAAAATCGCGACAAATTCAATGACCTAAATTCATTCCTAAAAAACATTTTCTCTGGCAAGGTTCTAAGTGTTTACTACTATGAAACAATAAAATACAGACGGATTTCTTTGCATTTATAAACGTTTAAGTTGGCATGGTGAATATGATATAAATTATAACATTTGTGTGATGATAGATAGCCAATAGACTAGACAAAAGGAATTTCGATAGATAGGATTCTAGTATATGACTGTTTGGAACACCTGAAAGCACTGGATTGCCGTTTCGTCGTATTTTGTGACTCCTCAGCGTCAGTGCGCATCCACGATCCCTCCCCTCAAGATTCGAACCCAGGGCCTACCGGTCTCGCACGTGAATGCCTGAATTCTAGACCAAAAAAATTGTACTTGCTACAAATAGTTCAATCCGGTTTGCTCTATAAACCATGATGTTTGTAATACTAGTTATCAGGTGAATATAATAAGCCAGAATTTCCAAAAGAAACTAATTTTAGTAAATTTAGGAAACAGAAATAAACGCTTAACAAAAGTATCTCAAACATGTTACTACTTCATGTAATTGAATACAATAAGAAACACTAGTTGAACTTTCACTTCCATTGAATTATAGTTCATACCAACTATCTATCAGTAGATGTGTTTGATATTATTTCGACAACTTTGAAACTGAAACCTCTCAAATGATGAACAAATTGTGAGTTTAACAGAGTATTTGTGAAAAACATAAACCATTTGATTTAATAAGCTGTTTCAAATGTCAACTAATTTTTCCCAAAATGCTCATACATGGCCACGGGTATACAGTGACTCGCATGTATTTCCTACTCACTGCCTTCTCGCAACACGAGTGTTGTTTAAAAGTTGGAGAGAGAATGTCGGGTTCTTTAACCGGGTTGGTGGATAATGAGGATCCACCTAGAGGAGTTGGAAAGCCCTGATTCGAAACCAATGGTACACATGGAATCCACAATCCTGAGGGAACAAATGGCGTATGAACCATTCGTTGGTCACCGCCTGCCATACGATTGCATCTCACATTTCTCCATTGCCTTGTGGATTGGAACTTTAAATCGGAAGCTCCGAGTGTGGCCACTTAACAAAATTACCTGCTTCGTTCTGGGCACCCTAGCAGTATCATAACCCATAAACAAATCAAGTAACTTGCATGGCTCATGTGTTGAGATTGGATCGTGATTGGAGGTAGTCAACAGAAAACCTTGAACCCGGGTTTCGTGCTGTTTGGAACTCGTCAGTAAGGTGTACCTGTACTCTAGAGGGAACGAGTGCTCCCTGACAGAGTCGATCCCGTTTCACCCAGCTTCACAATCAGAAAAGTTACGACTGAGCTATCCGGGCCGCGATCAACTGATTGACCACCGGGTGGTGATTAGTGTCATATGTGTCAAGTCCTTCTTAGTGCAGATCGAATGCTATCGAACCTTGATAGAATCCGTCAGGGAGCACCAGTTCCCTCAAGATTATAGGTATACCTTGCTGACGAGTGCTAATTAGCACAAAACCTTTGTCCAGAGTTTTCTTGTTGACTACCTTCAACTACCATTTAATCTCAGCATAGTGCACACAATGTCGAGTAAGCTAGACTAGTGGACACATTGCGACCTGGTCAATAGCATTTATATATTCAAATAAATAAAATTTCCCAATAATAAGTTCCTTGGATCTTGAACTGTTGATAACAATTCTACAAACCGTCTTTGCTTTTTTTTGTTTGTTTTTTTTCAAAAATCAAATTGTTCCCATATTGGAAACAATTCCATCAGTGATTCAATCTTATCTCAGGTCATATTCTATCTAATTTAGTTAGTACACAACTGTTCATAATAAATTAAGTTATAAACATATATATATCTATCTATCTACATATACACTTTTAATAATAAGATGTTCTATTGAATTAATCAAAAGGTTATCAAGTACTAAGAATTTATTATTGCCAATATACATATATTGTCCATAACAAGTAGTTTATTAAATCTCATGAGATTCATATTCAATTAGGACTTGATTTGGATCTATTCAATAAACTAGGAAATATGAACATTAATGTTAGGTTGAAATCAAATTCAATACAATATGTTGTAACAAATAGATGAACTAATAGTTTAAAGATTATTAATAAGAATATATATATATAATTATAATAGTGAAATTATAATAACAGAAGTTGTGATAGGAATAGATAGATTGAAGTATTACTCATTAAAGTAGTAGTATATAATAAGTATGAAGATTTGTGTAGAATGTATTCTCACAAGTCAATCTAATCTCATCTTAAACATTTCTCAATGTTACCAAAGAGATTCAATATCATCTGCTTATTCCAAATCGATAAATATACCTTCTGGTAAGAGATCAATTCATGAAAATTCAGTCGATGAGAATGTTATGCCTATAAAGAAGTTGAACAAATAAAGGAGATAGTGTACAGCCTTGACGGATAGTGCTTGGCGTTGTTAAGTCAGACAACAGTTGGTCATAAGCTCTTATTTGATTGGTAGTGTTAAAGTGAAGAGCCTTTACAACGTTTATGTACTTCTGAGGTACACTTTTCAACGACAAACACCACCACAGAACTTCTCTATCTACAGAGTCAAATGATACTTTTAAGTCAAGACGGACGCCAATAAGCTTGCCTGTGTGATTGAAGCTCGTCTACCACTGAAAACTTATAAGCACTAGACTGTCGTTTCGTCCTAATATGGGACTCCTCCTCATGAATTCAACTATGAAAATATGGTGTAATAATGAATGTTTCAATGTTTACATTGATTTTCGAAAATAGTTCGAACAGGAAACCTACAATGTTCACTAGAATTTATTAAGAGATCTCATATATGAGTGAATGTGGCATATTTATAAAATCTCATCCACTACAATAATACATACGATGATACTTTATAAGACTTTTCGGCGAGACTCTAATTTAGCGACGACCTATGAACGAATCTTAAATGACCTTGACAATTATTAGCCAATCAGAAGACAGTTAGTATAAAGTGAGAATATATTGTAAGTAAGTAATGAATTACAGTGGATATTCTTCTTTTACATGATTTAAAAGCTTGTTAAGGTTTGATGAAGGTTCAGAGGCTCTGAATTCATAATGCATATTGTATAGAAACTCGTCCATAGAGTAGGTGGTTAGGGTTGTACCCTGTCAATAGACAACTCTTCTCTAAAATACGATCGCATGTTAGAACCCTAATACTAACCTAAACCTAAACCCTAATATAACCCTAACCTTAACCTAACCATAAACCCTAATCTAACCCTAACCTAACCCTAAACCCTAACCTTAACCCTAATCTAACCCCAAACCCTAGCCTTAGCCCTAAACCCTAATCTAACCCTAACAATAACCCTAAACCTTAACCTAACCCCAAACCCTAACCTTAACCTAACCCTAAATCCTAATCTAACCCAAAACCCTAACCTTAGCCCTAAACCCTAATCTAACCCTTAACCATAATTTTAACCCCAAACCCTAACCCTATGGACGAGTTTCTATACAATATGCATTATGAATTCAGAACTTCTGAGCCTTTATCAAACCTCAACAAGTTTTTTAAATCATGTAAAAGAAGAATATCCGCTATAATTCATTACTTTCTTGTAATATATTTTTACTTTATACTGTCTTCTGATTGGCTAATAATTGAAATCGCTCAAGCGCTTTTGATTGGCTCGTCCCTAAATTAAAGTTTCGCCGTCCCATCTGTTTTAACCTCTCATTAATCACCTCCTCTCTAAAATCCGCTGTGAACCGACCGTATGTTAGCATCGGGTGTTGAACTTGGCTCCGTGACCTTGAAATTGCTCAAACGCTTCTGATTGGCTCGTCGCTAAATTAGAGTCTCGCCGAATTTTCTTCTAAATTTGATCGAGTACTTTCACGGTATTTAGCCGCCAAGTTGATGTGAGGCATTTAATGTATTTGAAAAATCTCAGAGAATGAATTTGAAGTAATAGATCCAACATTTCGCCTGGCAATCTGATTCTTGCTTTTTCAAGGAAATATCATCAAACATCGAAATTATCAGATATAAATAAGTATATGGTTCTCCGGTTCACTGTATAATAAATGGGTCAGCCAATCAATGTTAAAAATATTTATCGTAGTGGATTTAAAGCATTGATTAGATG